AATGCTCAAAGAGTTTTCCAAGACCTTTCAATGATGAAACTTCGATGGATTCAAACGGCTTTTCATCATACCGGCGACGCAGGGATAATAGGTTTTTCACCAAAAATGGTATAAATCTTGACAATGGATATGTTGTTCCATACAATAGGGATCTTATGCTACGTTATCGTGCACATATAAATATTGAGTGGTGCACTCAAACGCGTGCTGTGAAATATCTTTTCAAATATTCATAAGGGTCCTGACTATGTCTCTGCGGCTTTAGACAAAGATGAGGATGGAGTTGTGGATGAAATTAAGAATTATTATAACTGCAGGTATATTTGTAATAATCCTATATATTACATGGCCTATATGATTATAATATTTTAGAGACGTTTAATTTTTTTCCCTAAAATGTAGATATGTCTCGGCTTGCGAAGCAACATGGAGAATTTTAGGTTTTCCAACTCATTATAGGAGTGTTTCGGTGGAAAAACTTTCCTTCCATCTCCCGAACCGTGAAGTTTATGTCCATGATGAAGACGAAACTCTTGAGTCTATTTTGAAACGGGTTGGTGTTAGTGTTTCAATGTTTCTAGGTTGGTTTGAAGCATGTAAAAAATATCCAGATGCGTGTAAGCTAACTTATGCAGAGCTACCAACATAAGTTGTTTGGCATCTAAAGGATAGAGAGTGGAAGCCTCGAAAACGAAGCTTTGCTATTGGAAGGATTGCTCATATCCATCCAAACGGTGACGAGACGTACTATCTGAGGATGTTAATTAATATAGTCAGAGGTCCAAAATGTTATGATGATATTAAAACAGTTGATGGCGTTGTCTTTAATACTTTCAAAGAAGCATGTGATGTGTTAGGATTGTTGGATGATGACAAATAATATAACGAAGGCATCAAAGAAGCTAGCATCTGGGCTTCAGGATGGTATCTCAGGCTTTTTTCAGTATAATATTGCTATGTGATTGTTTAACACAACCTTGTGTAGTCTGGGAAGCAAATTTGGAGTATTTGACTGATGATATACTTTACTGACGTCGTCTTGAAAGCGGCTATGAAGGTATTAAACAGTTGTAATTATTTAATACATGAAGCTTGCTCTACAAGATAAAATTTCCAACTTGGTCATCATTCTTAAATATATCTTTGTGTGTTGTTATTGTTTCAGGTTTGAATCTATCGACCGAGCAGATTAAAAATATAGCATTGCAAGAGATTCGGGATTTCTTAGAAAGCAGAGGACGTTCACTTAAGAAATAGAACTGTATGCCAAAACCAGATAATTTCATGGAGTACAACGGCAACCGATTGATTGATGATGAACTCAAGTACAATGCTGAGGATCAAAGAAAAGAGAATGAGAGACTTCCGGCTATGATAACAGATGAGCAGAAAGGTGTTTATGAAGAGATTTTGGATGCTGTTTTGAACAACAAAGGTGGTGTTTCTTTGTATATGGTTTTGGAGGTACTGGTAAAACATTTCTTTGGAGTTGCCTTTCAACCGCTATTCGATCTAGAGGTAAGATAGTTATCAACACTGCATCGAGTGGGATTGCTGCTCTGTTGTTAGAAGGTGGTAGAACAGCACATTCGAGGTTCGGAATCCCAATAAATCCAGATGATTTTACACAATGCAATATGCCTCCTGGATCAGATCTTGCCAATTTGATGAAAAGGGCTGACCTTATTGTATGAGATGAGGCTCCGATGATGAGCAAGTATTGTTTCGAAAACTTAGATAGAAGTTTAAATGATATCATCAGATTACCTGTGAGAAAACTATTTGGTGGGAAGGTGGTTGTTTTTAGAGGTGACTTCCGTCAGATACTTTCGGTAATTCCTCATGCTGGCCGATCAGAAACAGTTATGGCAACAATCAATTCTTCATCACTATGGGATGATTGTAAAGTTTTACAACTTACAAAGAATATGAGGTTGCTTGGTGGACTAAGTGATGTCGCTGCCGCTGAACTTAAGGCATTCTCTGAATGGATATTAGCTGTTGGTGATGATAAAGTCAATACTCCAAATGATGGCGTTGTGGATATTGACATTCCAGAAGATTTATTGATCAAAGATTGTGGCGATCCAATGAAAACTATAGTTAAAGAAGTGTATGGAAACTTAATAAGTAGTCAACATACTGAAGACTTTTATCAACATCGTGCTATTTTGAGTCCCACAAACGAAGATGTTGATCAAATTATATCATGACGTCTGGCACCATATCACCATTTTTCATAACTACTTGAAAATGCGTATGTATGAGACAAAGTGATAAAAACAACAACTCTGATTTCTCTCTTCATTTCGGAAATCCTACATCAACTCCGATTTTATTTCATCTTAAACTCTACTATATCTGTTTTAATTCCCATATATTTGGGGATAATGTTGAACCTTTTTATTTTTTTGCTGAATCTTAAGAGATTTGGTCGGTTTATGGTTTTTATCTTATTTTTATGAACCTTGCTTATAATTATGCTTTTTGAACTTCTCATAATATTTTTTAACATACGCTAATTATTTGCTATTAATGGTGTTATATCAATTTCTAAAGTTTGTGTAAACATGTACTTTTAATTTAGGTTCTTAAATTTTGGTTTACAAAGATAATAATAGTATAAATTATAATGAGTGTTAAATGGAAGATTACAATGTCTTCCATTTAACAAACCTATTGTTACCATAAACAGAAATGCAATTATAAAAGTTGATATATTGTATATATTATGTCCTCACTTAATTTACCAAACCCGATATTTGATGATATAATGACCCAATATACGTTTTATTTAGAATTCATGGTTGGAAATATTTGGAACCCTAAATTATATACCTCTTGATAAGTTTCCAATATATATACAAACACTAACAACTTATTTAGTCTTCACATCTTTTCGGAAAATGGAACCACTTGATTACATTGAAGACTTGAACAACAGGTCAACTGAATGGTGCATCCGGGTGAAACTCGTGAGAAAGTGGTTTGAATATATACCACATCAGGGCGTATCATTAAAATTGTTTCTTGCTGATGCGAATGTAAAATTTATCTTTTATGGTATCACTAATAAACTATATTAATTCACATATATTCTTTTCTCTACCAAAATATTCAAATTCTTTCATTTCTAAAGGACCATACAATACGCGCTCGGGTTAGACGACAATTTCATGATTTATTTGAACCTCTGCTAACAGAAGGTTCATGGTTTGATATTGAAGATTTTGTTGTCAAAAGGTTATGCAGAAACGAAAGCAGAGATTCAAACATTTTTTTATCCAATTTATAATATCCACCTCCGTCAAGAAAATTCCATCTGTTCAAGGTTTGTTGTTTGTATTATTTATATTGGTTATAGAGAACTACATATTTGGTATTAAATTTTATTCTACATTTTTTTTTTGCAGTTATCAGAACAGCAATTAATGGATTACGATGCTCCTACGAATAATTCATGTTACTATACATAATAATTTCTGTGTTTTTAATGTATTTGCGTCTTTGATTTTTCCTTTATAAACCAATAATAAATTTCTTTTTAATGTCATTTATCGATTCTCAGTTAATTGACTTAATGATTACAAGAACTATGACATGTTCTTTATACCGAATTATCACAATTTCTCAAACAAGATACATCGTCACAATTATGGGTTCTTTAGGTTCTATATGTGATCTTCATAATTTTTTCACTAATCATAAAACAGAAATAGGATATATATAACACTGAGCATAAAATATAGGTACATCATAACACACACTATAAACTATCAATATTGTACAATTCGACCAAATACAATTAACACTATATCCAATAACATTACTAATTTATAAAACTGGCCCGCACGCTTCTAGCAATTAACACTATCTGCGAGTTTTGAAAAGAACTTTACATAATCGCTGCGATGAGAAATAATAAAACTAACAATCCTACAAAATTAGAAAATCGTTATAGTTCAAATTAAGAATTCCAAATTAAAATGTTTGTATTTCTTACACATATTCATTCTCATTCGAGGTAAATAACAATTTGCCACATATTTAGAGTCTTTCCCAAAAATTCCAGTGAATAATAAAAAATAAAAATAAAAAGCAAAAACTTATGGAAAACGATATACATTTCGAAATGAATTTACTAAATGAATTTACATTTCGAAATAAATGAATACCAAAGTTTTTCTGATTTATCACCATTTACAAATGAATTTACATTTCGAAATAAATGAATACATCTTCGCATATAATTTATAAAATATGTTCATATGTCACATTTCGATGAATAACTTACGATCTACAAACTTAAAATTAATGTATTTATTCATAATTTCATGTATTCTTCATCTACACTTTCTTCATTATATATACCTAATTATAATTACTTAATCAGTTATATATCACTTATTGTTTATATTTACGTCAAAAAAAGTATAGCCAATTGTAAGACACAATTCAATTCTTGAACTAATAACATACCATTCGGCCCAAATGTGGTAACACTGTACCCACACACACTGTCAATTATCAATTTTATAAAATTCGACCCAATAAACTTAACAATATACCCAATACAATTAAAATTTATAAAAACATTCAAGTCCGCATATGCGTGCGGGCCAGTATCCTAGTACTAATATTATCTGAGTTTGTTTTTACCGTAAGAAATTTAAGAATTTTAAAAATTTCTTTATCTCCTTTCTTTTTGGTTTTCTCATGAGTAATTGTTTTTAGTGAATTGACTATTTTTCACCGTTTTTTTATTATGTTTTTTACTCTTTTTGGGCATTTTGGAACTATATAGTTTCTCAAGTTTGTCAATGTTCTTTTAGAGAAATAATAGGAGAGTGGAAGGACGACAAAAGAAAAAAGAATATGAGACTGGAAAATTTGGTACATTTTTCCACGAGAACAAATATTCCACGAAATCTGATTTGTTTGTCGTTATTGTCATTAATAATTAGGAAAACAAAAAAAAAACAAAAGACCAATATCAAAGCTCAAGTCTTTCTCGGAACGCTTCGAATTCCTTCTCAACCACGGTAACCGCCACTTGCTCTCCGAGAAAGAATCAGAAAACCCTAATGGCGACGATTGAAGACGACGAAGTCGCTGTGATACTCGAAGAACAGCGTGAAGAGATCATGGCTGCTAAAGCCCTAGCCAGCGACCACGATCTGGCTTTCAATCTCCAAATGCAGGAAGCCCTAGCCGCTTCTCGAGCACCGCACACTTCCTCACCGGAATCTCCTCCCGCCGCCGCGGATGTCACCACTTTCACCGGCGGAGACGCTAACGCCGACGAATTCGACTTCACTGATCTCATCCTACAGGACATTGCTCGAGTCGACCAGGAGAGGCGAGACCGCGAGTTTGGCGAGCAGGAGATGAATAGGCTTAAAGTCGATCTAGACCGTCGGATTCACGATCAGAAGTTCGCTAAAGAGATTATGAGCATCCCGGACTCAGATTGGAGCAGAGACGGTGACTATTTCCAAAAACCTTACTCACTCGGAGCTTCTTCTTCCTCCGTCGTCAAAGTCGCTCCTTTCTCGTTCTCGGCGATTGGGGCTGAGAGCTTCCGGGTTTATTGCAAGGGTTTAGCGAGTGAAGAGATGATTGGAGACACGAGGGCCATGGTCGGTGGTGTTGGTGTTGCGATTTGTGACTCGGCGAATAATCTGATTTGGGAGGTGAAGAAGGTTTTGGGAGCAGAAGAGTCTAAAAGCTCAGAAATTGCGGAACTGGAAGCGATTGTTCATGGGTTAGATGAAGCTTTGACCTTTGATTTGGGAAGGGTCACGTTCTTCATTGACGATTTCAAAGTCTACAATTACGTGAGTTATCTCTAACCTGAAACCTCAAAATTTGGATTTCATTGACTAAGGTTTCGAATTTGTGAATGTTTGTGACTTTGTGAGGATACCAAAGTCTTGATCTTAATTTTTTGTTTACTCCAAGTTTGCGCTTTACGGTATTGTTTTTGTTTGTTTGTTGTATTTAACACTTGGGACTTATTTTCGTTACTACAATGTTAATGACTATGGCTCTTAATTCTTATACCTAAACATTTGGTGTATATACGATACATAATCATTTGCAAATCATCTAACTTGAATCTGGATTATGGTTATCTAATCATCAATAATGGGTTGGATGAGGCTTTGACCTTTGATTTGGGAAGGGCCACGTTTTTCATTGACAAAGATTTTGATTTTGTGAATGATTGTGACTTGTGAGAATATCATTTCTTGATCTTGAAAAGTTTGTACTCCTTTTAGTTGCTAATTTGGCGTTTTACAGTATTGTTCGTTTCTGTTCTGTGTGTTTGTAGTTATTTGCAAATCATCTAACTTGAATCTGGATTATGGTATCTACTGGATTACTTACAAGCTGCAGTTTATTCTTGGTTCCTTTACTGTTTTGAAATTTTTTAACCTTTGATATTGCTGGTCATGTTTTGCTCTGTAATCTAGGTGACAGGTAGAGTAGAACCTAGGCAGAGCGTTGTTGCAACGCTTGTAAACCAAGTGTCTCTTCTCCAGAAAAAGTTCTCATACTGCCAACCATTTCTTTTGACAAGAAAAGATGTTAAGTTTGTGTTCAAGCTCGCAAGAGACGCGATCGTGTCCCAAATCAAATGGCCTGAGGAAACCAGCGACGGCAAATCTTTCAAGGAGACTTGTGTGATATGCTACGAAGGCATCACAGTCGACAAAATGTTCTCGGTAGACGGTTGTTTCCACCGTTTCTGCTTCTCCTGCATGAAGCAGCATGTTGAAGTGAAACTACTCGGAGGTCAAACAGCTAGTTGTCCCAGCGACGGGTGCAAATCAGAAGTGAAAATGGAGTGCTGTGCAAAGTTTCTGGATCCTAAACTGCTTGAAGTTATGATCCAACGCAAGAAAGAAGGATCGATTAGCGTTTCGGATAAAGTCTACTGTCCATATCCAAAGTGTTCGGAACTGATGGCCAAAGCCGAAGTTTTGGAATATACCAAACAGTATTTTGTTAGAGCTGAGCAATCTGGTGCGAGGAAATGCATGAAATGTAGGCAGTTTTTCTGTATGCAGTGCAAGGTACCGTGGCACTACAACATCACCTGCGATGAGTTCAGTAGATCAAAGACCTATCAGAACGCCGGGGATGGAATGCTCAAGTCTCTGGCACAAAGCAAGCGGTGGAGGGCATGCGTAAAGTGTAACAATATGGTTGAGCTTGTTTGGGGATGCTACCATATAACATGCAGGTACGTTGCTTTTAAAAAAGAGAATTGTACATAAAACTATTTTGAAATTCCAATCCATGGATAAAGAAAGGAGAGACCTTTTTGGTTTTTTTGGCTCGCAGATGCGGATACGAGTTTTGTTACACGTGTGGAGCTGAATGGAAGAACAAGAAAGCAACGTGTTCGTGCCCGATATGGGACGAGCGCAACATAATCCGTGAGAGAAATGTGAATCCTAGGAGGTGATTGCTTATGTGTTTTGTGAAAGTTTAGGTAAAGCTTGATAGGGTAAGTGACGGTAACAGCGCTAGAATAAAAAAAAGTCTAGTTATGGTTTTGTTTTTGCGGGTTTTTGTGGGTTTTAGGAACTGATCCAAACGTTGGTGTTTTTTAGTTTGGATCTTCTATTTAGCTTTGGAAAAAAAGTTGACACTTTAAACTCAAATGTTCAAGATCCGAGGTTATAGTGAAACTTGTGATCTCCGGGAAGAAGTTTGAAATGGTCTTGTTTGTTTGGAATCAATTAACGGTGTATTTAAATGGGCAACTTAACCTTAAAACACAAGAGAATATAAAGCAGTTAAAAACAACACTTTATATCTTGTTGAGCTTGGAGAAAGTTGTAAACTTTGAGAAGTAAGTTCTTTGAGTCCCACTACCAAATCCTAGAGCTTGATGAGGATTCCGCAGCTCTGTTCCCTTCACAGGAGTGAAAGCCAGACTCGATGTCATGAAACCAGAGTAGGTAGTAGTACCACCTGAATACTGTCTTTCTCTGACCTTTTTGGCGACCTTAGCCTTGAGATTGCTCGGGACACTGGACATTCGCAGCCTCTTGCTCTGAGCCTGGCCAAGCATTCCATATCCTTGACCTTATCCATCACCTAGTGAGCTCTCTTCGGGTGTTTCACCAAATGCCACCCTGTTGGCCTGCTTTCTCATCTCTGTCACTGCATACCTTTCTTTCGTTTTTCTTAGGCGGCGACCACCTCTTCTTTTCTTAGGATTAGTATTTGGAACAGGAAGTTGCTTAGGTTGCCTTGCAAGACAAGGTTCTTGCAACTTGTCAATCTTGTTTCTGATCTCTTCCCTGAAAGCTTTTCCATTTTTCCCTGACGGGTCTCCTTTAACAGCGTCGATTCTCGCTGCCAAAGTCGATTTGCAAGCTAAGAGCTTGCTAACGCGTAACCTAAGCTCGGGAGGCGTGCTTTGGAAAATCTCAGTCTGCTCCAGATAACCCACACGGGAGGACTGTGTCGCTGCACTAGAGAACCCATCAAGGCTCTTCCTCTTCTTGCCAAGAAGTCGAACGTGACAGGCAGGCATGTTAGCAAGCTCCGATAAACCTCCAGCAGTCCCCATGAGCTTGGCTGCAACAGCACACCCGACAATGGCGGAAAGATTTGGTGCGATACATACCATCTTGGTTTCAGTAAACTCAAGGATCTTCTTCTTGGCGGAATCAAGATCAATAGCTCGATCACATGCGTCCATAGTCTTTTGAAGGACATCCTCTGGCAGAGGTTTTCCTTTTGTGGTTGAAGCAGCAAGTTTAACAGTCATAATAGTATGTTGTTTGAGAAGATCCTTCAGATCAACTAGGGTTAAATCCGTCTCATTCCCGATTTGTTTCACAACACGTGCATAATCAATTGCTTGAGGTACAAGCGACTCAAGCTCTTGGAACTTGAGTCTATACTTGTAACGTATAAAGTTGTGGACGATGGTGATTTCATCCTCGATATCAACTAAGAGCTGGTTGCAATCCATGATTAGTTTGTATGGCACAGTTTCATTCTCGAGAGCTTCTTCAACTTTCTGCATTATATCAGCATATCTCTGAGTTTTATGTAGGTTAGAAACGCTATCGAGGTCATGATCAGAGTTTAGGGTTTCCTCTTTTCCAACATTCTCGTCAAAATCTGGTGCTTCATTGTCAGATAACTCATCAAGCTCTGAGAGGAAAGAATCTCCAAGAGTTGTTGCCATATCTTCAAACGAATCTTTAACGAGAAGCAGGTTCTGTTGGTCGTCACTCGTAAGAAGACAGAGAGACTTTGTGGGAAATCAATTGAGTTCTCTTATCTTCGCTTCTCTTTATATATAGAGAGACAACTCCTTATACGTTATATTAGGTTTTGTTTCCTTTTACAAGATCAGTTTTGTTCAACGAATCTTAGCAAAAAAAAAAAAAAAAAAGGTTTTGTTCATCGAAAAGAAGAAGAAGGGAAAAGGAAATTCCTTTTGTTTTCATTGATGAGTAAAAAATATAAATCAATGAAAGTAACCGATGCAAAAAGAGGCCCACAGGCCCACAAGTTACAGCCACAGGCCCACAGATCGATCAAACGGCGTCCTTTTACTCCGAGAGCGAGTCGTATGTAGTAGAGAATAGTCATAGAGATTAACGCGGCTCAAAACCCAGCTTGTGCCTCTGATTTCGATTTCAAATTTGCGAATCGGAGCAACCCTATCGGCTTCTCGAGCATTTCCACCTCCGTCTTGAATTCTCCCGGCCGAGATGATGTCGCAGTCAGGCGATGTGTTCGAGCTACACTGTGCTTGTTTCTCCTCCGCTCGATCTCAGTGCTGGTTCATGTTTGGCGTTAGAATGTTGAACTTGCCTTTAAATTCAGCTTTGGTATGTATTAATTTTATATAATTTTTGGTACATTTCCTTGATCCTTTGTCACTAGAGGATTAATAACTAATTAACTGCTTTCCTGGACTTTGAATTGTTTCTGTTGGAAAGTATTTATTTAGACCATAAAATAATCATATACTGGAGCTTGGTCTTGATGATTGTGGGGTAGTGGAGAATATTCTTAATGATAGAGAAGTCTAAGTTTTTTTTTTTTTATCAAAGCCATCTATACAGTTCAATATCTTACTTGTGATGAATTAGAATATGCAAATGCGTGGTTATAATATCATTTACATTTTCTAAGTCAACTCTGAAATGCTCAGACATAAATTGTTTGCATTGTTCTGGAAAATTTCAATATATTGAATAAGATAGGACTTCATTTTATATACTTGGAAGTTCTGACTTTGACCGTGTTTCAGCTGCTGAAATTATTATCCACCATTGTTGCAGAACACACAAGATCCGACCAGGATAGTTAGATTCTCTGTTTTGGTCACAAATGGCTCAAGGATTGCATCTGATCTGGATTATCTTCTGTGTTCATCTGATTTGCATCTCAAGTCAACAGGAGACAGAGTTTATCTACAATGGCTTTCGTCAAGAAGACCTTTCTACTGACGGGGTTGCAAGAATCCTTCCCAAAGGACAGTTGCAGTTGACCGATGGTTCAGGACAGAAAATGGGTCATGCTTTCTTCAAGAAGCCTCTTGAGTTCACTTCACCTGAATCACTCTCTTTCTCAACACAGTTCGTGTGTGCGCTGGTGCGTAAGCCAAGGTTTGACGGTGGTCATGGTATTGCCTTTGTTCTATCTGCCTCCATGGATCTCACGCACGCAGAGGCGACGCAGTTCTTGGGACTTTTCAACATCTCGACTCAAGGATCATCCTCTTCTCATCTCGTTGCTGTGGAACTAGATACTGCACACAGCGCTGAGTTTGATGACATCGATGCCAATCATGTTGGAATCGATGTCAATGGCCTTACGTCTATCGTATCTGCTCCGGCTGCTTACTTTTCTGATATAGAAGGTAAGAACGAAAACATAACGCTTTTGAGTGGAGATCCTATTCAAGTCTGGGTGGAGTACGGAGGAAATTTACTTAATGTATCGCTGGCACCTCATAAAACTCAGAAACCAAGCCAGCCTCTTTTGTCAAGATCTATTAACCTTTCAGAGTCTTTTCCAGATAGAAAGATATTTCTTGGATTCTCTGGAGCAACAGGGACATTGATCAGCTACCAATACATACTAGGGTGGAGTTTTAGTAGGAAGAAGGCGTCAATGCAGGCCCTGGATGTCACTAAACTTCCCCGAGTTCCTTCTCACAGAGCTAATAGTAAGAGACCACCGCCGTTGCTTATTGTTCTGCTCATATTACTGGGAGTCATTGTGTTTTTGGCTCTTGGAGCAGCTTATTTGTACAGGAGATGGAAATATGCAGAAGTAAGAGAGGAATGGGAAAAAGAATATGGTCCACACCGTTTTTCCTATAAAGCTCTTTACAATGCAACTAATGGGTTTCACAAGGATGGACTTCTTGGGAAAGGAGGTTTTGGAGAAGTGTACAAAGGAACTCTGCCTTCCAATGAACAAGTAGCAGTGAAAAGAGTGTCCCACGACGCAGAGGAAGGGATGAAGCAGTTTGTGGCCGAAATCGTGAGCATGGGTAATCTGAAGCACAAGAACATGGTTCCACTTCTTGGGTACTGTAGAAGAAAAGGTGAGTTACTTCTGGTATCTGAATACATGCCCAATGGTAGTCTTGACCAATACTTATTCCATGAAGAGAAACCGCCCTTTTCATGGCGTCGAAGACTTATAATCATCAAGGATATAGCTTCAGCTCTCAGTTATATGCATACAGGAGCTCCCCAAGTTGTTCTCCACCGGGATATCAAGGCTTCTAATGTTATGTTAGACGCTGAATTTAATGGAAGGTTAGGGGACTTTGGTATGGCAAGGTTCCATGATCATGGGGCAAACCCTGCTACAACTGCTGCTGTAGGAACCATTGGCTACATGGCACCGGAGCTTGCTACAATGGGAGCTTGCACTGCAACCGATGTTTATGGCTTTGGTGCCTTTTTACTTGAAGTAACATGTGGGAGGAGACCCGTTGAACCTGAGTTGCCAGCTGAAAGACGGTATTTAATTCAGTGGGTTTGCCAATGTTGGAAAATGGCTTCTTTGCTCGGAGCTAGGGATCCGAGAATGAGAGGTGAAATCTCAGCTGAGGAAGTCGAAATGGTATTGAAACTTGGGTTGCTTTGCACAAATGCTGTGACAGAACTGAGACCTTCCATGGAAGAAGTCGTGGAATACTTAAACGAAAGCCTAAAGCTGCCTGATATCTCTCCAAATTCTCCTGGTATAGGGACTTTTACCCCGCTGATGATCGGATCAAACTCCCTCCTTGCCTCCCCCACTACAAAGACCGTGTCAGCATCATTTTACTCTTCTTCCTCAGCCAACGACTCTACATTTGTTACTCACTCGATTGTCCATGGGCACGGACGGTAAAACTTTGAGAACTATGCTCCTCTAATCTTAGATTCTTTTGTTGGGAATGGTAAAGCCATTCTAGGCTTGTATGAAGTGACTCTAGTTACCATTGTGATCCACTTGTGAAGTATATCTTGATATTTCACAAAGATATCCAGCACGTGAATGTTGTGTTTGGAGTCTTTTGTAAAAATGCTTTAGTTGAATTTGACAAAAGTTTTTGTTTTTAACCATTCTATCTTCATTTCTCTTTCTAGTTAGTTTGATTTTCCAGTGAACAAGGTTCTTGTACAGATGTTTACAAGTTGTTCTTCATTCTGTCTGTTTATTTGATCTCATTCTGTGACTTCTCTATTCGATAAAAACCTTTTGTACGACAAGCCCCAGATTCGCAGAAACAGTTGTTCCGGTTCGTAGCGTTAACGATGCAATGACTTGTCTGGGGAGGGTCGTTTTCAGTGTGATAGTTTCATGTGAGTTTCTCCAACTTCTTCAGGTGACTCTCCTTTCAAGTGAGTATATATCCCATCTTGTCCTGATCTTTGTTTCATGTAAAAGTTCTTGAATTCAAGTTATGTTGCTAATATTATTGTTATGAAACTTTGTGGTTGTTACATGCTCGTTTTTTGATGGATTTTCTAACTAATCACATTAATTTCTCATCTGTTCTCTTATTTTCCACTTGTTTTCTTCAATAGATGAACTGAGTTCAGTTTGTGGAGCTGAGTGGGATCACAAGAGAGCATCATCAAGTTCTCGACAGGTAAAGTTAAGAGGCTTCTTCTTGAAAGTTTGAAACTGTTGAAGCCTGCATATATGTTATTATATCTGTAACAGATTCAGCTGTTGTCTGTGGTATTAGAGAGATGATTTATAAAACTGTAGAAAAACTTATTTCAAATATATAAATATTGAATTGAACCTTCAAAGACTACAGTTTTCAAAAGTAGGAATCGTTTAAAGAAAGTGTAGTTTTTAGGATGTTAGGTTGTTGAATTTGAAGTAAGCCGCGTCAAGAGCCAAAAGAAAACAAAATTTGGGAGTTGTACAGAGTTGAATTTTAATAGGAGAGGACTTAAACGTTAAGACTTTATTTTCTCTGTTTTGACTTGCCTAAGCTTGTATCTATGCACCTACTTAACTGTTCTATAAAAAGGTGGGTGCTTGGCTTTGATTCCTTTTACTTTTGAGCACTTTTTCTTTACTTAGCATTTAAAATTCATTATGATTAATTCAATGAAATTTTTTGTGGGTACCGCGTTTAGCAGTTGCCTTTGTTTCTGACTGATGTTGGGATCTAATGTATTAAAATAATGCCTGAATTAGAATATTTGCCAACGTGAATTTATATAGATTTACAACCTGTTGCAGTCCAGTTTATAAAGCCAATAAAAATAAAGCAAATGCATGTGATGCAGACTTCATATCCAATTAAAAATTACCATTAACATAAGTTTATATCCTCTTTTCTGCAGCCAGCAAAGTTCGATCAGAGAGGAAAAAGATCTGCACAGAGAACGAGAACTCTTGTATTCATCAGCAGCATTGGCTCGTGGATCTCTCTCATCTGGTATATTTCAAACTATATTTTTTCTTGCTAAGCATCATAAGAAATTATTTAAGTAGCTGAAATATGAGGAAAATCCGGTGAAAGATTGTGGGTACTGAATCCAAGACACATGTAAATGAGTAGTTTAATAAATTTTTACAGTTTGTTAGTACGGTTCTAGCACTTTCCTTTGTTTCTTTGGACCCAGTTTTGGATTATTTCTGTTAAACTAATATCTGAATTTGAGCATTTGAAAACCATGTTAAGAAGTTATGTTGATTTGTATAATATTACCAAGCTGTCACAGTAATGAGTGCAGATGATGCTAGTACACTGTAGTTCTTATAATCATATTTACTTCATATTTCTCTGCACAGAGCTCTCTGTTTCCATCAGCAGCAATGTCTAGTGGATTGCTTCTGTTCTTTTTGATCACTTCTTCTCATCTTGTCTCTTTGTCAACTTCATCAATGGACACCAGCTTTGTCTTCAACGGCTTTGGCCAAGCGAATCTTTCTCTTGATGGGTCTGCTACATGGCTTACCAATGGATTGTTGCAGCTCGCCAAAGATTCGCAGCATCAGATGGGTCATGCTTTCATCAAGAAGCCAATTGGTTTCAGCTCCTCTAAACCACTCTCGTTCTCAACGCATTTCGTGTGTGCTCTTGTGCCTAAGCCAGGATTCGAAGGCGGCCACGGCATTACCTTTGTGATATCTCCTTATGTGGATTTCTCCCGGGCGCAACCAACTCGATACTTGGGGATTTTCAACGCCTCAACGAATGGATCTGCCTCTTCTCAACTGTTTGCTGTTGAGCTCGACACTGTCAAGAACTCAGATTTCCGTGAGAAGAACAATAACCACGTCGGAATCGATGTGAACAATCCCATTTCAGAAGAATCAGCACCTGCTTCTTACTTTTCCAAAACAGAGAAGAAGAATGTGAGTATTAGTCTCTCAAGTGGTGATCCTATACAGGTCTGGATTGATTATGAAGGAACTTTACTCAATGTTTCTTTGGCTCCTCTTGAAGCAGAGAAGCCAAGTTTGCCTCTTTTGTCACGACCCATCAATCTCTCAGAAGTGTTTCCGAGTAGAAGATTGTTCGTTGGGTTCTCTGCAGCAACAGGGACAGCAATCAGCTACCATTATCTTCTTGGATGGAGTTTCAGCACAAACAGGGAGTTCTTGCAGCTACTTGACATCTCAAAACTTCCACGAGTTCCTCGTCCTAGAGTTGAGCATAAGAAACCATACGCTCTAATCATCGCTCCGGTCGCTGCTCTTGCTATCATAGTAATAGCTGTTCTTTCAGGAGTTTATTACCACAGGAAGAAGAAGTATGCAGAAGTAAACGAACCATGGGAAAAGGAGTTTGGTACACACCGCTTCTCGTACAAATCCTTATACATAGCAACAAAAGGGTTCCACAAGGATGGGTTTCTGGGAAGAGGAGGTTTTGGTGTAGTGTATAGAGGAGATCTCCCTGAGTGCAAACCTATTGCTGTGAAGAGGGTGTCTCATGATGGTGAACAAGGGATGAAGCAATTCGTGGCTGAAGTCGTGAGCATGAGAAGTCTGAAACACAGGAATCTTGTCCCACTTCTTGGGTATTGCAGGAGAAAAGGCGAGCTTTTACTCGTCTCCGAGTACATGCCCAACGGTAGTCTTGACCAGCACTTGTTTGATGACCAAACTCCGGTTCTTTCTTGGTCCCAAAGACTTGTGATTCTAAAAGGTATAGCCTCGGCTCTCTTTTATCTCCATACGGGAGCTGAACAAGTTGTTGTACACCGAGACATCAAAGCTTCTAACGTTATGTTAGACGCTGAGTTAAACGGTAGGTTAGGAGATTTTGGTATGGCTAGGTTTCATGACCATGGAGGCAATGCAGCCACAACAGCCGCGGTTGGAACTGTTGGGTACATGGCACCTGAGCTAATAACTATGGGAGCTTCCACTGTAACAGATGTCTATGCCTTTGGTGTTTTCATGCTTGAAGTAGCTTGTGGTAGGAAACCAGTGGAACCAGGGCTGGAAGTTGAGAAACGGTATGTGATCAAATGGGTTTGTGAATGTTGGAAGAAAGATTCTTTGCTTGATGCTAAAGATCCAAGACTTGTTGGAGAGTTCTTACCCGAGGAGGAAGTCGAGTTGGTTATGAAACTCGGGTTGTTATGTACAAACATCGTGCCTGAATCAAGACCAACAATGGAACAAGTGGTTCTTTACTTAAACGGGAACTTACCGTTGCCTGATTTCTCGCCTTATACACTTGGGATCGGCTCGTTTACTCCTGTAGTGGTCGATGCAGCTTCCCTTACAGTCTCGTGCACTTCGAGGAACTGGTCAGCTCCTTCGGTGTCTTCTTCATCAGCCAACAACTCAAAGGACCATGAACAGCCATTGGAATCTAAGAGCTCTCTAAACGTAGTTGACGAATCTGAAGACATTGAGTCTCGTCTCCCTAGGCCAAACAGTGGCAGGTGATCAAGTTTTGAGTATCAAGACAGTGATCTCATTTGAAGCAGTGTATTCTCTAGAACAATCATATCTAACTTCTGAATGTTTTCAGATCTTGTCTTCGCTGTATTTTGAGTGTGTTTTGCTTTAATCTTGAAGAACAACTTCTACTATTAACCAAATTAAGATTGTTCAGTTTCTTACTTTTTGAGTATCAAGACAGTTATCTCATTTGAAGCAGTGTATTCTCTAGAACAATCATCTAACTTCTGAATGTTTCAGGCCTTGTCTTCGTTGTATTTTGAGTGTGTTTTGCTTTAATCTTGAAGAACAACTTCTACTATTAACCAAATTAAGGTTGTTCAGTTTCTTACTTTCTTCTGATTATAATAAGAGATCGGATCGGTTTGATTTTACCCGGTTATTACTTTCTTTCAAAGTGGGCCAAATAACGGGCTAAAGTCACTGGCCCGATTTTATAGTGATTAAAAAAGGATCTTTAAGCCCATAATGACGCGTGAATACGCGCCTAAACACTCCACTAGTGAGTGACCTTGTCGCAACAGTTCCGGATTCTCGCTGCCGGCGACGGTGTCGTCTTTGTTCTTCCGGCGAAAGAAAAAGAGAGTCACCGAAGATTTCAACCTTGCAGCTCCAATTCTGAAAGATTCCGACCGATTCAACCAGAAGATTTCGCAGGAAACGTTTGATAAACAACAAAGCTTAAAATTCTACAGGTATATTGTACGTCTTAAAATTCTTGGATAAAGATGGAATTTTTAAGAGTTGTTTTGTTTATTAGATGATAAATTTGGGATTGGACTTGCAATAGTCGCAGAGAAAATGACCGGTTACTTACTCTTTCGTTCCATGTTAAGTAAATTGGAATTCTTGAGAGATGACTTGGTCAGCTTTTTTTTTTTTCTTGCTCAAATTCTTGGTAAATTGATTTGAAAATCATGGAAATAGACAATTGATTTCACTTGTTTTGCGTTTGACTTACTTAGGAAAGTTGCATGATCACATCAATTTGATTAAATTGAAAATATGTAATCCAAAGTTTGTGGAGCAATATGACTAAGAAAAGTTGGTTTACTGCTTCTTTGGACATAGGATTGTCTCTTCTGAACAGTTAAGGGACAAGTACCTAAGTACTAGAGGTTTGATAACCTTTTGGGATATATGTGTGGATATATGTTATCTAACTCTTGACTTTCTGAATGCTAGAACATACTCCAAGGCATTTCAGATTCGTATGGGAATAGCATGAAACATTTCTGCTAAAGGGAAGTACTTAAGCTTGGTTTTGTTTGCTTCAGTTGACCTTGGAATAACCAGAGTAGACCATAAAATGTTTATACGTTATTTTAATTTACATGATGGATTAGATTATGCAATAATTATGGTCGTTGTCATGGTTTTGTCTTTGATTAATATTATTATGAAGTCTTCTATGTGATGCTTATTGGGAATTTATCATCGTTGGCTGGCTATAATTCCGTAGAATAAAATGTTTGTAAATGTGGAGGAGATGGAATGTTGAAAACTTAGTTTGACTTCTTCTCCTGAAGTTATGAGTTGACATTGTTTTGCAGTTTCAGAGATTGATTCTTACAGCAGAGAAAAAATTATATGCATAGGATTCAGACTCTCTCTTTCAGTGTAATGACTTGCAGACTACATCTGGTTTTGATCTTCTCCTGTGTTCATCTGATTTCCCTGTCAGGTCAACAAGAAACCGGGTTTGTCTACAATGGCTTTGATCGAGCAGATCTTTTTATCGATGGGCTCGCCAAGATCCTTCCTGGTGGGTTTTTGCAGTTGACAAATACCACAGAGCGCCAAACGGGTCATGCTTTCTTCAAGCAACCATTTGAATTTGATCAATCTTCATCACTCTCGTTCTACACTCATTTTGTGTGTGCGCTGGTGCCTCCTGAGTTGGGAGCTGATGGTGGCCATGGGATTGCCTTTGTTGTATCTCCTTCCATGAATCTCTCTCATGGATCTGCAACTCAGTACTTGGGCGTCTTCAGCATCTCAAGAAATGGGACTTCTTCTTCTCATCTGCTAGCTATCGAGCTCGATACTGTTACTTCGATAGAGTTTGATGAGCTTGAAAAGCCTCATGTTGGGATTAATGTGAACAACCCAAAATCTGTTGAATCTGCTCTCCCATCTTACTTCTCCAATGCCTTGACGAATAATATAAGCATAAATCTCCTGAGTGGGGAGCCTATCCAAGTTTGGGTGGACTATGATGGATCGTTGCTAAATGTTTCACTAGCCCCTATAAAAATACAGAAACCAGATCGGCCTCTTATATCAAGATCCATCAATCTTTCAGAATTTTTTCAAGATAAAATGTTTCTTGGGTTTTCTGCATCAACTGGGCAATTGACCAGTAACCAGTATATTCTTCGGTGGAGTTTTAGTAGGAGCAAAGAATTATTACAGACCCTGGACCTCTCTAATCTCCCTCAGGCTCCTCTTCCTAAAGACGAACCAGAGAAGGCTCCTCCGAGAGATGAACCGGAGAAACTATCTCCACTGCTTATTGGTTTGGTCGTCTTGGTCCTTGCAATGATGGTTCTCGGAGGACTTTATTGGTACAGGAGAAACAAGTACGCAGAAGTAAGAGACTCCTGGGAAAAGGAATACGGCCCGCACCGATTCTCCTACAAGTCTCTGTACAAAGCAACAAATGGCTTTCGTAGAGATGGTCTTGTTGGGAAAGGTGGGTTTGGAGAAGTTTACAAAGGAACTCTCCCTCGAAGCAGACTTATAGCTGTGAAAAGACTGTCCCACAATGCAGAGCAAGGAATGAAACAATTTGTGGCTGAAGTTGTGACTATGGGAAGTTTACAGCATCGGAACTTGGTTCCTCTTCTTGGTTATTGCAGGAGAAAAGGTGAGTTACTTTTGGTCTCTGAGTACATGCCTAATGGTAGTCTTGACCAGTACTTGTTTAATAACCAAAATCCATCTCCTTCATGGTTGCAAAGAATCTCTATTCTTAAGGACATTGCCTCGGCTCTGAGTTACCTGCTTACAGGAGCCACGCAAGTTGTTTTGCACCGGGATATAAAAGCTTCTAACGTCATGTTAGATTCTGAGTTCAATGGGAGGTTAGGTGATTTTGGTATGGCAAAGTTTCACGACCATGGAGCCAACTTATCTGCAACAGCAGCTGTGGGAACCATAGGTTACATGGCACCTGAGCTAATAACAATGGGAACTTCTACAAAAACTGATGTTTATGCCTTTGGTGCGACCTGTGGAGCCCGTGTTGCCTGTGGAAAAGCAATACCTGGTCAAATGGGTTTGTGAACAGGATTCTTTACTTGAGACCAGAGATCCAAAACTGGGAAGAGACTTCATATCCGAGGAAGTCGAGTTAGTTCTTAAACTCGGGTTGCTCTGCACAAAAGCTGTGCCACAATCAAGGCCAACCATGGCACAAGTCGTGCAATACCTAAGCCTGGACCTACCCTTGCCGGATATCTCTCCGTATACTCCAGGTATTGGAGCTTTTATGCCAGTGTCAATGGTAGCAGAATCTACCATTGGGTGTCCACAATTCAAGAAATTCATCAATACCTATGTATGTTACTCACACGATCTTAGAAGGGCATGGAAGATGAGAGATCTTAAGAAACTGTGTATGCTTTTTATCTAATATCTTGAGCTACTTAAATGTTTCAACTTCAAGAATTAACTGTTGTTGGTTGAGTTTTTGATCTTGTCTTCTGCATAGTTTCTAAGTGAGAGGAAAGGTATTAATTCAACATGTATTGTTATGCAATTTTTATCCAAATCTCTGCATTAAATTAATTAATTCTATACACTACAAAAATGTATAAACAACGGTAAAATCCCTAACGGCTATATTATTTAGAGAAAAAGGAAATTATCAGATCATTAAATGAACGCGTTAACATACTCCACAAAAAAAGGCAATCAATCCAGACTATACAACAATTAACAACAACAAAAGTATATATGTATATATACGTAATCAACCCTAAACATTCGTCACGGTAATCACAATTCTCTTCTTCCCCAAATCTTGAAGCTTTTTTTTTGCCCTTTCGCGCGTAAACTATGGATTCTTCATCTTCTTCTTCCTCTTCGACAAAGAAGATGAAATCCAAATTGTCCGTGAGAAGAAAGCAAACCAGTTTCAAGAAATCGTCTTCCTCTGTCAACAAAAACATTCCTTCTGCGAAAAAGAAGACGGATATTTCTCGGAGAGAACAGACACTTCTCAACAAAGCCTACGAGCTTTCTACTTTATGCGAGATCGAACTCTGCGTAATCTATTACAATCGTGACGGAGAACTCATCAAGACATGGCCGGAAGATCAATCCAAAGTCAGAGACATGGCCGAGAGGTTTAGCAAACTAAGCGACAAAGAGAAAAACAAGAAAAGCACAAACCTTTCTCAGTTCTTAAACAAGAAGATCCACGACGAGAAGAAGAGAGAAGGAGAAGACAACAAATTCTCGCAGAAAGTCTTGGAGATTGAAGATTCTTTGGAAAATCATTTACAGATATTACAAGAAAGGCTTCGTCAGGTTCTTTACCTCCACGATCATCAAACCGAGTCAGACCGGAGCCGCCTTGCGGTTTTATCCGGTTCTTCAATGGCCGAGGAACAAAAAAATCAAAACTTTATGGGTTCTTCTTCTTCGTCTGGCTTCTTCTCAACGGATACATTGATGAATTTATCAAACGATCAAACTTCATCAAGCTTCGCAACAGATTCGTTGAGTCATCATCAGAGCAAGGTCTCGATTTTTCTGTATAACCATGAAAACGCTACTCTTACTCAATTAGCTGACTCTGTTCCAAGCTATGACCAAGCGTTGACTCCGTATAACCAGAGGCGGGCCTGGCCAGAAGCTCAAGCATGTGTTTGGGCCAATTTGTGAATCGCCGAGACTTTTTTTTTTTTTTTACATCTGGGTCTAAAGTTCGAGGCTAGGAAGCTATGTTTTCTTTATTATTTTGCTTAATTAAACAAGTTGGCAAATGTTCCTTTTCTTTACATTCTTTTCTTCTTGTTTTCTTTTTTTTTTTGTCTTTGAGACTATGTTTTGTAATTTTGACAATTTTTTTAAACTGAAAATATTTTTAAATAAATGATAAGGGGCCAGATATCAAATTACTTATAACAAGATTATATAAGTCACATGATGTGACTCACATCTATCAAATAAATACAATATATATTTTGACTAATTAGTTTAAGGTATCTTGACATTTGATGAAGTATAGTATTGTTTACATTCAATTCTTTTTTTTTCTTTTTATAATAGAAAAAATTAAATCTATGTTTCAAGATCTATACAAAACAAAATGTACTTATGAAAAGAAAACACCATGAAATTCCAATTAAATACGAGAAACATCAAAATTCAAGATATCAGATAGAGATCAAGACAACACATTATAAAATTATGAATAAACAGATCTATTAATAGCATAAATTAAATTATAGTTCTGCTTTATCAAGCAAATGTTTTTTTTTTTGGGCAACTAAGTGTATTTATCGAAGTTGTTGATGCTAAATATATATGCTGGTTATCGGCCTATGAATTATAGAACAAAAGTTTTAAAAATTTTCTAGTTGGATGCTCGTAGGTTGGTCAACCTCGTTGCTAGAAGCGATGATCGCCGGAATTTCTTTTGGTGTAGGAAGTTTGCTTCCACTGCTAATTGGATACCAGATTGAAGAACGCATAGCACGAATCGTCGCTCTTATCGTTATTAGCGATATTTACGGAGCATTGATTTTTCTATGGTTCAATGCATGGGAGAGGGAGATGGATATTACACCGTGCAAGATTTCCACAGTCTCTTTGTTCGTGGTGTTGATGGCGATAATCGCTCTGGTAACCAGACTCTGCGACTTAGCGGAGTGATATTGGCGATCCTGTCCGAGAATTTCAGATGTTTTTTTGTAGATGATTTGTTTTACGTTGATTTCTGTTGTTGAGAATTTTAGATGTTTTCTTGTAGATGATTTATTTTACGTCGATATCGATTTTTGTTGTTGAGAATTTTAGATGTTTTCTTGTAAATGATTTGTTTACGTCAATATTGTTTTTTTTTAGTTATTTTGATTGGTTTGTGAATAATGTGAATGGGGCTGGCCACGATTTCAATGTATAGGAGGAATTTTTAATGAAAATTAGGTTTCTGTTATAAATAAACTTGTTATTAAAATCAAAGCAAACACTAATACGACATTAAAAAAAAAATTAACATACGTGAAGAGAGATGACATTAGTGGACAATTATAATCATGTCTTAATTTGGCTTTTTTGTCTACAATCATATCGATTAGCTGTGATTTTCATTTAAATTCAAAATTATTATTTTTATTATTAAAAATTAAGAAAACCTGAGCAACAATAATTAATTAACATGAATCTCTTAGTGATGTTAAATTTTGTCAAAAAGTATACAAGTAAATCAAACATGTAATTGGAGTTTTTGAGCTTATAAATTTGTGGAGGATCTATTTTTTAAAAGATTTAATGATTTGTATGGTTTAATAGTGTGACAAATAAATGAATAATCAAAATTTTATGATCAAAATTAGTTTACCAAAAAAAAAAATTTCCTTGCTTATAGCCTCTAAATTTCAGGACGGGCTCTACCTATAATAATAACAATCATCTTTGGGCACAAGGATTTGGTGACCTGATGAGAAGTTGCAGTGACAAGACACAAAATCCACTTCTCCAGTGTGGTCAGTAGAATCAGATACCACCTTGTTATGGATGTTATCTTCTTGTGATTAGGTCTTGCTCTCCAAGATCTCAAGATATGATCTTGACTTGTTGCTAGGTCGTCAACATTATTCTTATATTCAAAATTATGTATTCTCATTGAGGAAGTTAGGCTTTATTATATGTATTGAGTTTTAATATGACTATGTAACAACAGTCTCTTCTCGTTCTTCATTCCAAAATTTGTAATGAATCGATAATTCATCAATTCAATTCTTGTATTAAGAGTTTTAATAAATTCACGCTTTCGTAAAACTATATACAATGGTCTAATACTATAAACCATTGTATAGACAAAAGTTATACAGAGAAATTTTCCACATCTGTTAATGGAAAATTTGAAAAATCAAATAAAAACTTTTTTACAACAGAAGTGATAAAAGTGTAAAATTGTTAAGGACTCGCTGAGATAGATGATCCAGAGCGGCAATGAGATCTCTAAGCTGTACTACCAAAGAATGTGAAGAAAGTTGTTAGATTTCATCTTCCATCACCATAAATGATTGTGTGAGAAATGAACATTGAGTTGTTGGCAGAGGAAGAAGAAACTGATGAGGCCATTGAAGTGGAAGTGATTGCTAAGGAAGGTAAACCCATTAACACCGGTGTAGAAACTCCAATTCCAGGAGTATCTGGAGAGAAATCAGGCAACGTTTTGTGTCTGTTGATGTATTGAACCACTTGCTCCATTGTTGGTCTTGAATCGGGTACAATGCTTGTACATAGCAACCCAAGTTTCAGAACCATTTCGACTTCCCCATGGATGAATTTACTTCTCAATCTTCTATCTACAGCTTCATCTAGTGAGCCCTTTCTCCAGCATTCAAAAACCCATTTGACCAAATGTCGTTTCTCAACCGGCATGTCTGGATCAAATGGTCTCCTCCCACATGTTACTTCAAGCATGAATGCACCAAATGCATACACATCGGTCTTAGTGGAAGTTCCTGTTGATGTTAGCTCAAGCGCCATGTAACCTATGGTTCCTACAGCTGCTGTTGCTGAGAGATTAGCTCCATTATCATCAAACCTAGCCATCCCAAAATCTCCTAAAAAACCTTGTAAATTCCCATTTAACATGACATTAGAAGCTTTGATATCTCGGTGTAACACAACTTGACTTGCTCCTGTATGCAAGTAACAGAGCGCAGATGCGATATCTTTCAAAATAGCAAGTCTTTGTGACCAAGAGAGAGGCGGTTTATCACAGTGAAACAAATACTGATCAACACTACCTCCTTCCATGTACTTAGACACCAGCAATAACTCTCCTTTGCGCCTGCAATACCCTAGAAGAGGAACCAGATTCTTGTGCTGCAAGCTTCCCATTGTCACAACTTCAGCAACAAACTGTTTCATCCCTTGCTCTGCATCGTGTGATAGTCTCTTCACCGCTATATCTCCCACAAGAGGTAGAGTTCCTTTATAGACTTCTCCAAAACCACCTTTTCCAAGACGATCATCTTTGTTAAACCCTCTTGTTGCTTTATACAAAGATTTGTAAGAATAACGAAGTGGACCATATTCTTTCTCCCATGGCTCTTTAACTTCTGCGTATTTCTTCCTCCTGTACACAAAAACTCCTCCAAGAGCCACCATTACTATAAGCGCGAGTATAACCAGTAGAACAATAAGCAGAGGAGATGTTTTCTTGTGTATCTTGGGACGAGGAACAGAGGGGAGTTTTGACAAGTCAAGACTCTGTAATGAAACTCTGCTTCTGCTGAAACTCCACCCCAAGATGTATTGGTAACTGATCAATGATCCAGTTGCTGCAGAAAACCCGACAAACGCTTTTCGATCCGGAAAGATTTCTGTAAGATTTATCGTTCTTGACAAGAGAGGCTTACTTGGCTTTTGATCTCTTATAGGAGCTAATGTAACATTGAGTAGAGTATCTTCATAATCAATCCATACTTGTATTGGATCTCCACTCAAGAGTGTCAAGCTTTTGTTGGTCCTTTCTCTGTCTGAATAATAACTTGCTGGAGCAGACACAACAGATTGGAGGCTGTTTACGTCTATACCGACATGATTCTTGTCGATGTCGTCAAACTCTGCGCTCTGGACGGTATCAAGCTCGATAGCTAAAAGCTGAGAAGAAGGAGATCCATTAGTTGAGATGTTGAAGAGTCCTAAGTATTGAGTTGGATCTGCTTGTGTGAGATCCATTGAAGATGATAGAACAAAGGCAATCCCATGACCACCATCAGCTCCTGGTTTAGGAACCAAAGCGCAAACGAAGTGAGTTGAGAAAGAAAGTGATTGAGATGAAACCGAACCGAAATCGAACCGGCGGTTGAAAAAAGCGTGACCCATTTTCTGAGCCGTGGCATCGGTTAGCTGCAACAATCCGTCTGAGTTTTGGAATCTTGCAACGCCGTCTAGGTGAAGAATGGCTTGGCCTTGGTTGAAGCCATTGTAGACGAAACTCAAGTCTTGTTGACATGAAAAAGAAATCAGATTAGCAAAGAAGATTACAGAGAGAAGAAGAAGAAGATGATGATTTATTTGAGCCATTTTGGTAATGGAAGATTATAGAGAGAAGATTTTCAAGAACGTTTTCTGGATTTCAAGAATCACAAAATTCAAGTTATAAGGGAACGAGTTAAAACCCAATTTTCGATGTTCCAAGTCCACGAAAAATATTCTCTCTAGGCATTAGTTGACTTTTGACTTTTATTTATATATGTAACCGTGATAGTTACTCTAAAAACAATAGTTTTCTTAGAATTTAGAAATATACTAATTCTTCTTTAGAAAAGTAAATGGTCTGTACAGTCTACTCTCGTTTATAACAATGTCAAGTCGAATTAAATTAAGATGAAATATCCTACAAAAAAACAATAATTGGTAAAAGACATCCATGAAATTAACAAAGATTTTTTCAGCTATACTTTTGGAGACGAAGGTGTGTGTTGAATAATTGAGTTCCGTGACCATGGGAAGAGGAGATGTGGTAAACTGGTAACTTGCTAAAGAAGCATCCAGTAAAAGTCCTACTCTATTTGTCAAAACCCATTTCTTGCTTTATACACGAAACTGAACCGAAATCGAACCGAACTTACCCGTTTGAGTCATGATAAATTACTGTAATGAGTAATTATCTAGTATAACCAAAGAATCTTTGAGTAATAGAGCTTTTATTAAATGGATGATAGAAACAATTATACAATACACAAAAAAGCCGGATAAAGAATCAAATATGTGAAGATTAGGATCATACAATTTCTAAATAATAGTTCTTCGTACGAAATTAATATCCAAAAACCAGTGTTCTACAAAATCGCTTACACAGTTGTATGTATGCAGGCCCGGCCTTTTGAGGGTAGATGGAGATGACCAGGGCATTCACTCTAAAGGGCCATATTTTTGCTACATCCACTCAAAATAGACATATTTTTGTTAAAAAAAAAATATTAGGGATCAATCTCTACCTTTTCTTGAATCCAAATTTGAACAGTTCTAAAAGTATGAACAAACTTTTGAGATATTTATGGTTGAAAAATTCGACTATAACAGTTTAATGAACAATTTTGCACGAAAAAATGCAAAAAGATATATATTTCAGCAATAAACTATATGTTTTGTGGGATTTTTTCTTTTCTTACAAACTGTTTATGAAGTTTGATTGTTTTATGAAGTTTGATTATTTTAATTTTTATTATTTTAATTTTGAAAAAAAATAAAAAGATATATTTAAAAAAATTAGACGCGAACATCCAAATTGATCAGCAAACAACAGTTACGCGTGTATATATGTTATATGGTTAGAACAAAATTGTTGTTTGCTAATATAATTAGTTTATAGAATGCAAATTAATACTGACATACATACGGCATTTATACGGTATATGAGTATATCAAGAATTTTTTTTTTTTTCAAATAACCAGAACTACATAGTTTTACTCCATTAAAAATTAACCCTACAATCATCATACTAGGAATGCTCAAGTATGGATTTGTTGATGGGATTGTTGATGATGGAAGTATGTACTTGGTTATAGAAGAAATGAAACATATGATTTCAATTAAGTCAGAGAGTTACATGAAAAAAATTCATATGTGATAAAGAAGAACTTTCATAAATCAATTTTGAGCCTACGGGCGACCACATTCTAGAATTATAGAAGGGAAGAATGGGGATTGGAGAGTAATTTAGTTGGTATGCTTATGTTTTCCATTTCATTTGATGATAAATTTAATAAACATTTATGTTCATATGAAAGTTAAGATTTGAGATTTCATTATGTCTTTTAGAGTTTTATTTAAATCTTTTGATACTATTATTACTTTATTAATGTTTATTACTTACTTGGAAATTTATTTGGTATGCATGCATATTGTTTTTTATTAATAATCATCAAAAAATTATTTATATGTTCATTTTTAGTAAAAAATTGTGTTTCTATATGAATATATTTATTAATTGTATGTTTAATAATTTTCTTTAATTTACATATAAATAAGTATGAGCCAATTTCAAATAATTGAAGAATTAAATAAGCATTTTCCCTGTTTCTCTGTTTGGCTCAAATTCGGTCCCATTTTCTTTAACTACAGTTAGTCAGTTACTACACTAATTATTTTTGTTTCTTACAATAAATGTAGGGACTTAAATTATTGTTTCTACATACAAAAATAAAAATTAAATTAAATTATTGATTACAATGCATCGTATTTATACCAAAAGGGAAACAAGTATATAAAAATAAATTAAAATTAAGTGTTAATTATAGGAAATTTGCCGATCCCTGAAGCTTCAACACCGTTTGTTCTTCCTTGTTCTCCGCCGCAATCTCTCCGCTTCAATGAGAGATGAAATTCTTCTCAGAGAAGCTTCTTCTTCCACATTCCTCTTAGCACCCAAATCGCGCTTTCGCGTTACGATTCGAAAAAGTAAGTTCTCTTTTCTTCATCCTCAAAAGTAGATCGTATTTGTAAGGAATCGAGCTAGCCTCTCAAGGAAGGAACATTACCCAGATTAATCGTGAAAATTCTCCGGTTTTGTGCCTTAGAAACCCTAATTTATGATGTTCCTTAGAGAATTTTGATTCCTCTCTGTGATTCCCATAATGGCAATGGTGGAGAAGAATGGCTCTACAATCGGGTATGTAGCCCGAAACCTCCTCCTCTGCTTATTCCTTGTCACAACGATCCTCTTTGCTCTCTCTTGTTACTTTGTGTTGCGTTCCACTGCACACAATCGCTTCCTTAGCTCAACATTTCCATCAAAATCGTTCCTTGACGATGTGAATGTGAAAGAGGCAAAGCAAGAGAAAGAGAATTGTAGATGCAGCAAGGAACCTCTTAAGGTTTACATGTACGACATGGATCCTGAGTTTCATTTCGGATTGTTAGACTGGAAGCCTGAGAAGAAGAATAGTGTGTGGCCTGATATTCAAAAGTATATACCTCCTTACCCTGGAGGCTTGAATTTGCAACACAGCATTGAGTATTGGCTCACTTTGGATATTCTTGCATCTGAGTATCCAAACGCACCGAGAGCTATTGCTGCGAAACGGGTTCATAACTCTACTGAAGCTGATGTTATCTTTGTGCCGTTTTTCTCTTCTTTGAGTTATAATCGGTTCTCTAAAGTGAACCCTCACCAGAAAACCAGCAGGAACAAGGATCTGCAAGGAAAGCTTGTTGCTTTTTTGACTACTCAAGAGGAATGGAAGAGATCTGGTGGTAGAGACCATGTGGTTCTTGCTCATCATCCGAATAGCATGTTGGATGCTAGGAATAAGCTGTTTCCTGCAATGTTTATACTCTCTGACTTTGGAAGGTACCCTCCTACTGTGGCCAACGTTGAGAAAGATATTATTGCGCCTTATAAACATGTCATCAAAGGGTACGAAAACGATACGTCCGGTTTCGATACTAGACCGATTCTGCTTTACTTTCAAGGTGCCATCTACAGGAAAGATGTGAGTTCTTCTGTTTGCCTTGCTTTAGTGCTTGTTGTTTCGTTATTGTTCTTCACAAATGGGATTCAGGTGTTTTAATGCAAGTGAACTGTCCTCTACGTTGCTTTGATTAAACACTGAATATTGGTTTGCTTCAATGTGTTATAATATCTCAGGGAGGGTTTGTGGGTCAAGAATTGTTCTTCTGTTGCCTTGCTTTAGTGCTTGTTGTTTTGTTATTGTTCTTCACAAATCGGATTCTGATGTTTTAATTCAAGTGAATTCTCCTCTACGTTGCCTTGCTCAAATATTGAATATTGGTTTGCTTTAATGTGTTATAATATCTCAGGGAGGGTTTGTGCGTCAAGAATTGTTCTACCTCTTGCAAGATGAGAAAGACGTGCATTTCTCGTTTGGGAGTGTGAGAAACGGAGGCGTAAACAAAGCAAGCCAGGGAATGCACAACTCCAAGTTCTGTCTCAACATTGCTGGAGACACTCCTTCATCAAACCGTCTCTTTGACGCCATTGCCAGTCACTGCGTACCTGTCATCATCAGTGACGACATTGAGCTTCCTTTTGAGGACGTTATTGATTATTCTGAGTTCTCGGTGTTTGTTCGCACCTCTGATGCCTTGAAAGAGAATTTTCTGGTTAACTTAATAAGGGGAATAACCAAAGAGGAATGGACACGGATGTGGAATAGATTAAAGGAAGTGGAGAAATTCTATGAGTTCCATTTTCCGTCGAAAGTAGATGATGCAGTGCAGATGATATGGCAAGCGATTGCACGGAAAGTCCCTGGTGTTAAAATGAGGATTCATAAGTCTCGAAGGTATTCTAAATCTGTTTCTGAGACAGAGAGAGAATCAAGATGGTCGTCATTGATACCTCGGAGTTTCTGGTGAATAAAGATGAGATTTTTGTTGTTCTTCGTTTTCTCAGGAAGGCCATCGAATTGTTTTTGTGTAGAGAGAAGTTTATGTTGGATCAGATGATTTGTGAACTTTTTCTCCAAATCATAGGTTATAGACAGAGAGATAAGTCTTATTCTAATTGGTTTCTGCATTTCACCATAGAAAAATAATAATGTTGTAAGTTGATGATTTGTTAATTGTTCATTTAGATCTCTTTTTATGGTAAAACATAGTTTCTAATAGATAAACAGCTTTTTGAGTATATTAAGTTTATTTCAACGCTGCTTACAAAGACAAGAAGATGAGGAAGACTAGCTGTTTTACTTTACATTATCAATCAACAACATAGTTGTGGCTTTAAAGTTTAAAACATTGTAGTAGCCAAACAGATTTAGATACAGAGAAATACACAGTTTCTTAAAAATCTCATCTCCCATGCCCTTCCAAGATCGTGTGAGTAACAAACATAGAAAACGATGAGTTCCTCAAACTGGGGAACACAATAGCAGATAAGGCTTCCATTGAGACTGGCATAAAAGCTCCAATACCTGGAGTATACGGCGAGAAATCCGGTAAGGGCAGGTCCAGGTTTAGGTATTGCACCACTTGTGCCATGGCAGGTCTTGATTCTGGCACAGCATTTGTGCAGAGCAAACCGAGTTTCAGAACCAACTCGACTTCCTCAGCTGAGAAATCTCTTCCCAATCTTGGATCTCTGGCCTCGAGTAAAGAAGCGCTCTTCCAGCATTCACAGACCCACTTGACCAAATATTTATGTTCCACTGACAGCTCAGGTTCCATAGGTCGCCTTCCACAAGTTACCTCAAGAAGGAAAGCACCAAAGGCATAAACATCGGTTTTTGTAGAAGTTCCCATTGTTATTAGCTCAGGTGCCATGTAACCTATGGTTCCCACAGCTGCTGTTGCAGATAGGTTGGCTCCATGATCATAAAACTTTGCCATACCAAAATCACCTAACCTCCCATTGAAATTGGAATCTAACATGACGTTAGAAGCTTTTATATCCCTGTGCAAAACAACTTGTGTGGCTCCTGTATGCAAGTAACTGAGAGCAGAGGCAATATCCTTAAGAATAGAGATCCTTTGCAACCATGAAGGAGATGGGTTTTGGTTATTAAACAAGTACTGGTCAAGACTACCATTAGGCATGTACTCAGAGACCAAAAGTAACTCACCTTTTCTCCTGCAATAACCAAGAAGAGGAACCAAGTTTCGATGCTGTAGACTTCCCATAGTCACAACTTCTGCCACAAACTGTTTCATTCCTTGCTCTGCATCGTGTGAAAGTCTTTTCACAGCTATTTGCCTGCTCAAGGGAAGAATTCCTTTGTAGACTTCTCCAAACCCACCTTTCCCAACACGACAATCTCTGCCAAACCCTTTTGTTGCTTTGTACAGAGACTTGTAAGAGAATCGATGTGGACCGTATTCCTTTTCCCAAGATTCTCTTACTTCTGCATACTTGTTTCTCCTATACAAATAAACTCGCCCAAGAACCACCAGCACAAGGATCACCAATAAGATGATCAAACCAATAAGCAGTGGAGATAGTTCCTTTTTCTCCTCTCTAGGAGGAGGAACCAGAGGGAGTTTAGAGAGGTCCAAGGCCTGTAATAGCTCTTTGCTTCTACTAAAACTCCACCCAAGTATATAATGGTTACTGAGAAGGTTCCCTGTTGATGCAGAGAACCCAACATACATCTTATCTTGAAATATTTCAGACAGGTTGATGGATCTTGACATAAGAGGCTGATCTGGTTTCTTAATTTCTATAGGGGCCAGAGAAACATTTAAGGAAGATCCATCGTAATCCACCCAGACCTGGATAGGCTTCCCACTCAGGAGATTTATGCTGATATTCTTCTTTAAGGTGTTGGAAAAATAAGAAGGAAGAGCAGATTCAACAGATATGGGGCTGTTCAGATCAATCCCAACATGAGGCTTTTCCAACTCATTATACTCTATTGTCTTGACAGTATCAAGCTCAATAGCCAGTAGATGAGAAGAAGAAGAGGAAGTAGCATTTGTTGGGTTGCTGAAGACGCCCATGTACTGAGTTGCGAGTGCATGAGAGAGGTCCATGGAAGGAGATACAACAAAGGCAATCCCATGGCCACCATCAGCTCCCAACTTAGGAGGCACCAGCGCACACACGAAATGTGTAAAGAACGAGAGTGATGATGAAGATTGATCAAAATCAAATGGTTGCTTGTAGAAAGCATGGCCCGTTTGTAACTCTGTAGTATTTGTCAACTGTAAAAGTCCACCAGGTAGGATCCTGGCGAACCCACCCATAAAAATATCTGCTGCTTGTTCGAAGCCATTGTAGACAAACCCGGTTTCTTGTTGTTGACTTGACAGGCAAATCAGATGAACGCATGAGATGATCAAAACAAGATGAAGTCTAAAAGCCATAGCTACTGAAAGAGAGAGTCTGAAATTGGTGGAAATAATTTTTTTTCTTTGGTAACAAGCAATCTCTTGAGCTACAGAAACTAGGTCTAGTCATAACTTCAGGAAAAGTCAAACTAAAATGTCAACATTCCATATCTCGTCCACAATTCGTAGAAATTGCTAAGGAAAATATTGTCAGCCAACTTGCAAATATATTCACAAATAGGCATCACACAGCTGACTTGAATATAATTTAAACAAAAACGCGAGTGACATATCATAACAAAACAATAGAGAATAACTCCAGAGAAAACAGCAAAACAATTTTTGAGAGGTTTGATAAATTACTTTATTTTGGTACTTTTCTAGGAAAATAATATTACAAGAATATATCATTCATCAAGTAACGCCTTTTCCTTGCAAAAAGTTGCAGTCTTTGCCTACAGAGCAATTTCCACAAAACACTTAAAAAGTAGAGACATGAACTATGGAGCAAAGAAACAATGAAAATTATAAGATATCATCCATATTAAATGAACAGGGAAATATACATATCAAAATTTAAATCGCCTTTGCTTTCTTCCCATAGTAGAAAAATGGTGTGTAGTAGTATAGGAAGATCAATTTGTTACTGAAAAAGCCAACATTATCAGACAGATTTGTTACCGGTAAATAAAATGTAATCAAGACTCTGTCAAAAAGAAGTAAATTTCCCACCCTCAAGTTAGATAACCTAAAAAGAGAAAAAAATAAAAGATAGAACAGTTTATCATCTCCCCATCAACCACATAGCAAAGTAACTCTCCACAGCACTGTTAACTTACCAAAGAGAAAAACGAATTGAATCTACTCATGAAGTAAAACCAAATCACAGACTTATGTTATAGTGTCACAGTGAATAGTTTATTAGGTTACAAGATAGAACATTCAGCTAGAAAGTCAATCTATCAGAATATATATCCAATTGGTGGAGAATCCAAGTAACAGATGCCAGGAGCGTCTTGGGATCGGACTAGAGGAGAAGACACGATGTCTTAGTCCGTGTGACATGTTTTTCTCTGTTTCCTCACATTAGGTAAAGCAACAACTCGAATAAATGAAAGAAAACCGGTCCAACTACAGTGGAACACAGCTCTAACCCCTCAGTGTCCCCGTGACATACTCAGGATCGGAGTCAGGAACAGAATCGAGACTCTTAGGTTCTTCAAGATCATGAAGGCTTGTTGATTCTTCAAGGCCTTGGGAACTCTCGATATTAATGTACTCGCTGTCGCTGATGATAATAAAGGAATCCTCCTCCTTCTTGAGACGCTTCGGAGTGTGCTCTGCCACACATTCCACACATATGTTCCCTTGCTCTACTCCACAAGACTCCTCCCTCGAATGTACTTTGACTTCCACTGAACTTTCTTTAAGAGTCTGCTTCTTGGCCGCTAATGGTCCGCAGCCTGGTGGCCAATCGCGAACGACATAGTACTTAGGGCGTGGTTTGATCTTAGTTTCCATGTTATCCCAAAGAGGATCATGAGCTCTCTTCTTCGCTTCCTCAAAGGTCCTCGGCATTCTGCAAAAAGCGAGATTCGAGTTAGAATTTGGCAAACCGAAAGATCATATACTAAGTTCAGGTTATGTTAGGTGATTTGAAGTATTTATTCGTATCACTCGTTATCAAACAATCAACAACACTATATAGTATAAAAACCTAACAAATATATATATAAGATACTTAGGTCGATTTAGACTTGGACTATACGTAACCTTATAGATATTATATCGTAAGGCGGAAAATAGCATACGAGTCCTTACTTTTAGTCTTTCGCGTGAAAAGTAAACGCTGATGTAGTCGAGATGGTGTTAACGATGAAACAGTACGAGGATGATGAACAAGAACGTGGCCGAGAAGCAAGCAGAGATGCGAGGTCGGGATCAGAGGAAGAGTGGTGGTTTCGGTGAAGAAGTTGGATAATGGTAAATTGGTAATTAACTGAGGATGAAAACGCCGGTGACTCTTTCTCGATCTACACGGTGCAGCTTTAGGGTTTAAATAAAGGGAGATGGGGAACAAACGATTGGGCCAAATTGGGCCAAAACCGACATGAGCTATTGTCGGCATTAGATCGATATAAAGGTGGTCGGTTCCATCTATAATGAGAAAACTTCCCGAAAACTTACATGTTCTTGCACCCAAAAAAAAAGACTACTTAAATAAGGAATAAATTACATAGACATAAGGATACTTTGAGAGTTTTTTTCTTCTTTCCTTGTTCTCTCTTTAAATCTTTCACAAGGAAAGAATGCTTTTCTCTCTTGTTTTCGATCTTTTGATCGATGTGTTTTTGTTTTTATCAGATTCCGACTTAGATCGGAGAATAATATTCCGGCTTTGACCGGATTTTCACTTTCCGTTTTTCAGATTTCCTTTTGCTATTTAAGATCGTTTCTTCACTGAATCTTAATCTTTGCTAATCCTTAGTGGAGCAAAGATCTTTATAAAGTTGAAGATTCGATTAAAGTGAGCTTTTATATGATAAGGTAAAAGGTTTTCTGTATTCGGATTTGTGTGTCTCTTCTACAGGTTTTGCAGATCCGGTGATGATAAATTCTCTAATCCATCGAATGGTATCATCCTCTCCTGACCGGGAGTAGAATCTCCCTAAATCCTCTACTAAGTGCCTTTGTCAAGGCGGAGGGAATTAGTCATGAAGCGGTGATGATCGGAGGTGACTTTATGGAGGAGAAAAATCAATTGGGATCTGCTATAATCATTTGTAGAAGAAGTTTTACATGATTTTTTTTGAAGAAGACAACCTCGATCTACTGGATTTCTGCAACATGACGGTCGGAGTTCATCAGATTTGGTGACCGGCGAAGTTGATTCCGACGAGGTGTTGCGGCGTTTCTCGTGTCAATCCTAGTTTCATATTAGAATTCCACGTGTTATACACGTGTTGTGATGTCATCAGTAGTTATCTGATTTAATTCTAATGGGTTTCAGTTGGGTTTAAATTGTATGAGTTTCGGGTTGGGCTTCGAAAACATCTTGTAAGCTGCTACGTTGGGCTTTGATCTAATCAAAAGACGACAAAAAAAAAAAATTACATAGACATAAAAGGTATGAACTTATGTATGTTATTTACCTGGACAGATTAGATACTAAATTAGTCAACACTAATTACCGTTTATTTGTCTTGATTTTCGTTAATTTTTTCGTTAAAATTAAAATATTGAAACAAAAAAAAATTCCCAAATCATCTTTGCAAATCCTTAATTTCACCCCATTTCAATATTCGTTAAACCTTCTCTAGTTTCACAATTTCTCTTATCCAATTCGCTAATCTTCAATAAAAATGTCAAGAAGAAACAAGTTAATTCCACGTCAACACAGAGCACACGTGAATCCGAGTCATCAGAGAAGTTGAAGATGAAGTAGATGTAGATAAGAGAAATTGTATTTAATAATCATCAAACAAACTATAATTTAACAACTAACCAAAAAAAACTGAACATAATATTTTCTATATATTCTTTATTAATACTTTTTTATCATTTTTTTAATTTCTTCTTTCACTCTCTCTTTCTTTTCTCCTCTCTCTTTCCTTCCTCATCTCTCTTTCTTTTGTTCTCTCACACAGTGCTCCATCCTCTCTCTTTCCTTCGTTCTCTCGCACAATGCTTCATCCTCTCTCTTTCCTTCGTTCTTTCCAACAGTGTTTCACATTTTTTCTGCACCTACACCACCGTCATTATCAACAACTTCACCGAACAATCACAAAAGAAATTTTGATTTCCACAATATTCTCCTCCTTATCCCCCTTTGATTCTCCTTCTCTCCTCCCACAATATTCTCCCCCTTGCCTCCTCAGATATCTCCTACTCTTTTAATATTGGTGTAATCTATTAAATTTTCCTTTCTATTTTACTCATCTCGTCTCCCCATCTATTATACTTATCAAATCCATACTATTTTATATTTTTTGTATTTTGATCAATGTAAATATTTATAATATTCAATTTAAATCCTAATATGTAATGTATTAAAAAAAATCGGCCTATATATAAAACACATAGATTGTCTATATTAACTTAGGCATGTTCTACCTGCAACATAATTTTCTCTCTTTTGTACCACTAAAGATGATGATATAGAGAAAAAGATTAATATAAAATACAGATAAATAGATTAACTGATTTTGTCAATAGTTTCTCGATAAAATATTTTAACTTTAATTTCCAAAATCAGTTAAAAAATATTTTGACTCCCTAATATTTTGTACTCCCTCCGTTTCATAAAGAGTGTCATTCTGACATTTTTCACACATATTAAGAAAATTATTAAAAGTACAATTTTATCTCTTATTAATACATTAAATAACTTGTTTTTATCTAATAAATACATTAAATTAATAGAGTTAAAACTGGAATATTGTTTAAAATTTTGCATTGAAAATATAAAACGACACTCTTTGTGAAACAAAAATAAAACCTTAAAACGACACTCTTTGTGAAACGGAGGGAATATAAATAGATCTATTATATTACTGATTAAATATAGACTTTCTATGTTATTAGTGTCATTATTGACATATGAAAAAAATATTATCCTTTGTTTCTCTGCACCAACACTATCGTCATTATGAATAACTTCACCGAAGAATCACATAGAAATTTCAATTTCCACCAGATTATATGTTTCTCCCCCTTGATTCTCCTTCTCTCTTCCCACAATATTCTCCCCCTTGTCTCCTCAGATAATCCCCAACTCGTTTCATATTAGTGTAATCTATTAAATTTTTCTTTCTATTTTACTCATCTCGTCTCCTCGTCTATTATACTTATCAAATTCATACTATTTTATATATTTGTATTTTGGTCAATGTAAATATTTATAATATTCAATTTAAATCCTAATATGTAATGTATTCAAAAAAGTTGGCATATGTATAAAACACATAGATTGTCTATATTAACTTAAGCATGTTCTATACGTGGAACATAATTGTTTCTCTTTTGTACCACTGAAGATGATGATAGATAGAAAAAGATTAATATACAATACAGATAAGTAGATTAACTGACTTTGTCAATAGTTTTTCAATAAAATATTGTGACTTTCCAAAATCAGTTAAAAATATTTTGATTCCCTAATATTTTTGTATATATAGACCTATTATATTATTGATTAAATATAGAATTTCTATGTTATTAGTGTCATTATTGACATATGAAAAAAAAATATGGGTTTGTTTTTCGAAATTAAAGTCATGTTAGACTTTAATAGTAGTGTATATGAATTTAAAATAGACTTGTTATTGATAAAAATTAAAAATAGACTTGTTATGTTATTGGTGATACTATTCACGTATGAAAAAAATATGTTAGTTTTCAATAATTCAAATCATATTAGACGTGAAAATAAATCAGTATTTTTATGTAATTATACAAGATTGAATTAACTAATATGATATTAATAACAGAAAAAATAAAATTATAGGGTAACAATTTGTACAGTAGATAAACTGTCTATATGTATGTCAAAGAGGATAGAATCGTCAAAAAACTAGTTAATTGTTACTTGCTTCGTTTTAGTAAATCCATGGTTATATCTTTAATACTTTATTGAAATTTAGTTATTCACTTAATTGATTCATGGAGATAATGTGTTTTTTTTTTACTCATACCAATGCAAACTAACGACCATTCACAAAATAATGTTTTTCTACTAAGTCAGATGAACCATATTGTATGTCACGTTTACACGTCAGGATCCAATTATTGACGCTAAAAAGCAACGAATAAAAATCCAACACGTGTACTGCACCTCTGGAAACTGGGTCCCGCGTAGACGTAATATGACAAAAGACAGAAACAGAAATCAAATCTCGAAGGTAGCGATTGAGATAGATATACAATCTGTCAATCTCCCTCCATCTTCTTCCTTCTTCTTCTTCTTCGTAACAGTGCTTGACTTTACACTCACGTAGAAGCATTTTGAAGAGTAAAACAATCAAAGAGAAGCCATGTCTTTAAGACTAATTCTATCTTGGGCGATCCTGTTGATTCTCGTTGCGGCGGCGACGGCGAAAGCGATCGGATTCGACGAATCCAATCCAATCAGGATGGTCTCCGGTAAACTCCAGGAAGCTGATGAGACCTTCCTCCAGATACTTGGACAGTCTCGCCATGTACTCTCCTTTTCTCGCTTCGCTCACCGGTAATATTCTCGCCGTTGACTTATTTTGAAATCGAATTCAAATTTCAAAAGTTTTGTGTTTTTGAAGATATGGGAAGAGGTATCAGAGCCCGGAGGAGATGAAGCTCCGGTTCTCGGTTTTCAAGGAGAATCTCGGTTTAATCAGATCCACCAACAAGAAAGGCTTACCTTACACACTATCTCTTAATCGTAAGACTTAAGACTGTGTTCTGTTTCTTTTAGGCTTTTAAGTTGTCTCACTCCAAGATTTGTTCAGTTTCTTTTTTTTGGTGATTGGTTGACTTTGAGCCACCTGAAAATGTTTTGTTTTTTATGTTAATGAATTTCTATACAGAGTTTGCTGATTTGACATGGCAAGAGTTTCAAAGACACAGTCTTGGAGCTGCTCAAAACTGCTCAGCGACTTCTAAAGGCAGCCATAAGATCACTGAAGCTGCACTTCCAGAAACAGTAACCATCTTTAGCTCTTTGGAGATTATAAATTCTGCTGCTTGGTCGATTCTTTATAGTTCAAATGACATTTGAAAAATATGGGTCTGAGTTCTGAGATTGTGTAAATGCAGAAAGACTGGAGAGAAGATGGTATTGTTAGCCCTGTCAAAGAGCAAGGTCATTGTGGATCTTGCTGGACATTCAGGTGAAAACATATTGAACCATCATCTCATGAAATTTCAGTGTTTTCTTGATGCAAGAAAGATCATAATCTCTGATATATATGATCCAAATTTCAATTCAGCACAACTGGAGCTCTTGAGGCAGCTTACCATCAGGCATTTGGAAAAGAAATATCTCTCTCAGAGCAGCAGCTTGTGGACTGTGCTGGAACTTTCAATAACTTTGGTTGTCATGGTGGACTTCCTTCCCAAGCATTTGAATACATCAGATACAACGGTGGAATCGACACAGAGGAGGCTTATCCTTACATCGGAAAAGACAGTAGCTGCAGATTCTCGGCTGAAAACATCGGCGTACAAGTCCTCGACTCTGTCAACATCACCCAAGTAACAACATAATTTTGAGATTGAATTCACTTTAACCTGCTAAGATGATCCATTTCCTAATATATAAACAAAATATACCAATAGGGTGCAGAAGATGAACTGAAGCATGCGGTGGGGTTAGTAAGGCCAGTGAGTGTTGCATTTGAGGTTGTACATGAATTCAGATTCTACAAGAAGGGAGTTTTTACTAGCAATACTTGTGGAAACACTCCAATGGTGAGTTTTTTTCTTTTTCTTTTACAAATGTTACAATTACCAACAGAGATTCGTTTTTGGTTTGGTGAGTTAACCGGGTCTTTTGGTGAGAACAGGATGTAAACCATGCTGTGTTAGCAGTTGGTTATGGAGTTGAAGACGGTGTCCCGTACTGGCTTATAAAGAACTCATGGGGAGGTGATTGGGGAGACAATGGCTACTTCAAGATGGAAATGGGGAAGAATATGTGTGGTAAGCTTTTTTTAAAAATTAGTTTCTATTTTTTTCAGTTTAGTTCGGTTTAGTAAAGAAGAAATGAAATTGAAAAACAGAATTTAGGTTTGGTTTGGTTCGGTTTATTTCTCTCAAATTTGGTTTATAGTTCTGTTTCTCTCCCATTGATTTTTTCTTTGATTTTTTGGTAGGTGTTGCTACATGTTCATCGTACCCGATTGTGGCATGAGGTTTTCAAACACGTAACAAGGGACTTTGGGTTTTGGATGTTCAAAAGAGTGGACAAAGATTTGGTTATATCATATATGCGATAAAAAATGGTTGATGTAAAAGACGAAATTGTTGTAAACGTGTATTTACTTGGAGTGAATTTATATACGTTTATAGTGCATAGAGTTATCAAATAATGTCACCGACGCTAAGAAAAAGAAGGTTTCAAAATAATGTTGATTGTATTTGTCAGAAACTGCATAAACTGTGGACTTCGTTATTTCTATATATGTATAGTCGAAAACAATAATATAATGTTAGTTAGTTCGGTTGAATCTCAGCTACCTTTTATTAACTTCATCATTGTATTCTTTTTTTTTTTTAGGCAAACAATTTAAGCCAATATACAATACTTCCAAAAACTAAATTATGGAAGATTATTATACTAACCTTTAAATCTATGTTTATTATTTGTTTGACATATTTTTATTTTTATTATAAAACTAGTCTAACATTCCTAAAATACATTTTTCGCCTTTGGTAAAAAACATAATTACAAAAATACCTTCACTTAGGCAAAAAACGTCGCTTCAAAATTCAAAAGTCTATTATTTTTTTAGGTAGACTTATCAGATATTAGTCAACGCAAGATTTTGGATGATAGATTAGTCAAAAGTCGGTAGATTTGTAAACTTTTGATAGACTTTTTTGGTAGAAATATCTTAATGACACGGTAGATTTTTATTTTCTGTAGATATTTTGTCATATATGACATACTTATTTATGTATTGGTAGACTTTTTAACTAATTTGTTGACTTACAAGAAATGTTTGACTTTGTTAATAGATTTGTTAACAATGGGTTAATAGCCGAATTGGTAGACTTATTCATTTTGGTAGTAGAGTTATTTACTAAAATTTAAGTTAACATGACAATATATTTATCTCTTTTATGGTAGATTTGTTATGGAATTGGTAGATTTATTAGCAGTGTGGTAGATTTGTTATGGAATTGGTAGATTTATTAGCAGTGTGGTAGATTTAAATTCAAGTCAAACGTTGGTAGATTTACCAATAGGTATGGTAGACTTAGAAACTATTGGTAGATTTGTTCGTAGTTGTGGTAGATTTTGAAGTACTTGGTAGAATTATTTCACGTATGGTAGACTTAAAATGAATTTAATAGAGTAGACTTAAAAACTTTAGTATTTACTAAGATACTCGATTTGGTAGATTTATATTGAGCTTGATGGTAGACTTTTATGAATGGTAGAAATATTTACATGACTTGTGGTAGATTGATGTACAATGCTTGCAGTAGACTTATGTACAATGAGTGCGGTAGACATTTGACTTTTTCACAGCAAATTATTTTTTGGCCCTAAACGTAAATTGCAATCTACAAAAACAAAAACCAGAGGTGTAGTAGACTTGTTTTGTAGTATTGTTATAGTATATGTGGTAAACATGTTTCTTACATGTGGTATACTTGTTCCATGGTTATATGCGGTTTGGTTTTGTAACCATTGACTTTTTTTTGCATGAGTTTGTAGAAAACTTTAAATCCGATCACAGAAGATTATTGGGCCATAGATCACAATGAATTTAGTACATAGATCACGATGGCTGCATAAGAAAGGGATAATTGGTATCAGGTAAATGATGTGTTATAAAGATAAACATCTAATTTGAACTCTGTTTATCACTTAGTACTATAGTATAGAAGAAAAATACTTCATAACACAGACATCAGTTTTTTTATTCATCTTTTAACTTATGCTTTTTTTATTTGTGAATATTCTGTTATATTTAACTCAGTTTACATTAAGTTTTTGAACACTACAATGTTATATGACTTTAGTCATGTGTTTTGGTTAACATGTCACTCACTTTGGTTATACATCAAAGTGAACATATAAGACCAAAAAAACTGAATGGTAATATCACTAGCATATATAATAAAAAATAAATGAAATGTTTGATTCGGTGTTTTGCGACAATTATATTTGAAAACAAAGCTATCATCATTTAAAATCTAATTATCATTTGTACAAATTCAAATATAGACTTACATCACTTCAATAATAATTTTATCATAATTTCAAAACAAATCTACCATCAGTTTAAAAATGAATCTACCAAATCCAAATCTACAATTCGTAGTAAAACACGCTAGATCGATGCCGGAAATTCCGTCAGAGACTTGTCTGCCATATGAAGCGCATAACCTGTCAGAGAAGAACAAACAAATGGCATCATTCATATTCACAGTTCAAATAAATCTATTATATCATATATCATTTTCAAATAAATTTACCATCAAATAACTAACAATTCTACCATCATATAAAATAATAAATGTACCATCATTAACAAATAAATCTACCATAAAATAACTAATAAAAAACTACCAAACCACATAGCGTTTTAAAATAAATTTACCAAATAATTAATAAATCTACCAAACCACATATTGTTTCTAAAATAATTTACCATCAAATAACTAATAAATCTACCAAACCACATATCGTTTTATCAAATAAATCTACCTTCAAATAACTTATAAATCTATCAAACCACATATTATTTTTCAAATAAATCTACCATCACATATTACAAACTTTACAACAAAAAATACTCTCTTTAACATTCTCCACCGGATAATCTTTTTTCTTTCACCGGAATCTCGTTCCGTCAATGAAAACCACAGATTAAACAAGTTATCTGCAACAAAAAAAGTTTTCTTGTCACCGCCAACCGCCGCATCTCCTTAGTTTATCATCGATACTAGTTCCAAAAACCCAGATCTAGAAAAAAATCAAAGAATTCAAAAATTAAGAAAGAAAACTCTCGTAATAGCAGAACGAATTGTAGAAGCTATGGGAAGATCTAAATCTTCGAGCTTGGAAACGTTGGAGGCGCCTTGGTACAAAAAATCAGTAGGGCTAGTCCTCTTTTTCTTGATCTTAAACATCAATGCTTTAAAGTTCATAGAGGTAATTATTCATGCAACAAAATTTAACAAAAACAAAAAAGAAAAAGAAAAAAGGAGAGCAAGAGAGGAATGGAAGGAAGAGCAGCGCCTTTGGAGAGAAAACAAGATGAATTGGAGTTTTTTTTGGTTTTGTATTATTATTATTTTTTTTTTTGATTTATTTTTTTTGTTAAAAAATAGTTTGTCCGACAAGAAATAAATTTGAATTCTGAAAAAATAATTTATAAAAAAAAATATCAAAATGCTATTTTTGTAATAACATAGAATATTGGGATAAAATTGTTTGATTTAATTAATATTTGAAAAATCAATTTTTTTTAAATTTTATTAAGTAGAATGACATTTTTGTAATAATATTCAAGATGTGAATAAAATCGTATTAGACTAAAATCGTAAGGTTAGTCTAGTAAGGCCAAAAATATGAAGGGTTAGTCAATACTGTAACCTATGCATAATATGTTGAAAATTTCATATTAAATTATTACATATGCATTATATGTTAAAAATGACATACTATGAAAAGTGAATTTAACAAAATTCTTACTTTCTAACAGATGAGTAAGTCTGTTATTTTCCCTTTTTATATTCTTTTTCAATATGAATTGTGTTTGGTTAGCAACTCTTGACTAAATCTTATGATAAAACTCAAGACTTCTGTTATATAAAATTTTGTTTCTACAATTGGATATTAAGACTTCTGTACCTAAGTCTTCTTATCAGGGTTTGGCTTTGATTTTGATCCCTCGTTAAATGACTTTACTTTTCTCCCCTTTGAATTCAATATGTGAAATCGCTTCCTACTAGTGTCTTTGGTTTTATCTTGTGTTCTATAAAGTTTGCAAATACATATATTGAAAGTTCCAAGAAGTCCTATTCCCTGTAGTTGTTGCCAAAGTGGACTTTTCAGAAGCATACTAAAACTGATGGAAAGTGAATCCAAAGAAAAAAGGTTTGGAGAACCATACTTTATTATGGAACACCATAATTCTTGAGAATTCTTTGTCTCATCTTCACAAATTCTTAACCGCTCACCATCATTTAAAACATCCAAACATAGAATATATATTGTCTTGAGGTACAAAAGAGACCCAATAACAATGATACATCTCAAATCTGTCCTATAAACATATACCTACGTTTGTGAAATTTTTGGTGAATTGTCAACATCGACAATTATATTTTGCAATCGGTATTGGAGATTGTCAATCACAATTGATGATAATGGGGAATAACAACAGGGGCAAATCAAAATAATATCTTTGCAATTTGCTGGTCGTTTCACCCAAACTTCTTCCTGAATATGTCTTTCCACAACCAATTTTTCAGATCCTAAATGCGATGAATTTGTATGTATACAAATCCAAATTAGATAACAAACCAAACGAATAACCAACAATATCAAAAATGTTTGTTTGGAAAGCGGAGAAAAGGAACCTCAAGAAGAGAAATTGAAGACATACTGGCTAGAAATATCCCACAAAAGCGGTGGAATATGGTAGCATAGAAAAAGTGTTTTGATAAATTGATGCCAGAATATCACTAATGTATACAGTTCATATCAGTAGGAAGGATGCCGAGAAACACAATCAAGCCATAGTTGCCGGAAAGCTATTCTATCAATGAGAGACAGAACATTTACATATATGAACCGACAAATTGTGTTGAAATTTGTGGAGAGAAAAGTAAAAGGATGAAAATCTCGCCAACGAAGATGGCTCGTTGAAGTTTTTTAGAAATCAGATTTGATTTCTAGAACAGATCATTACAGTCTTTCGTCTTTCTCCATGGATGTAACAAACATCACTTTTATTAAAATCATATCTATAGAATTTTAGATTAATTATGAAGAAAAGAAGAAATGAGAAGAGCCGCTGCCAGAGGTTGAAAATCCTTGAAATAAGACGATTTGAGACGGTTACAGTATTAAGAAAAAAATCATCCAACATTAAAAAAGAATTTTTTTTTAATATAATCATACAATGGTTGGTGGTGTTTCCCGGTGATTTCTCATATTTTTCTTACTATTTATATGTTGGAGACGGTTTATAAGGGTGGTTGTGTTCTAACCATAACCACTTTGCTATGGAAAGAATTGCCATGGAAACCACCATGGTTCAGAATTGAAGATAATGGTCGGCGAAGTTGGGATTTTGGTTCGATTTTTCCTGGTGTGTTTACTTTGCTGGATATAGCGTTGTTATGGAAACAATCACCATGGAAACCGCCATGGAAGGGACGAGGTTTTGGAACGGAAGATGCAATCTCCTTGTGGTATGGCGACATTCGTACAGTTGTTGAAAATTGGCAATTCCAAAAAAAATTTCTATCGAATGAATCAATAAATTAGATTCTTATTCGAAGAATATCTTTAGTTCTTATTTTGGAATGTGTCAATGACATACAACAGGAGAAAGGATGGATCATAGCAAAAAAAAAATCGCATCAGATCAAATGCGATTACAAGGAAGGATAGTGTGGACACTCTTACAGCGCAAAAAACTCTGAAGGAAAAATTGTTCAAACTCATCTTTGTTGTCTTATTGCTTTGTATGTTTATTTTTATGTATTGTTATTGTTATGTAACTTGATTTTCATATTAATAAAAATAGATGTTAAAAAAAAAAAATCCGATTGGCTAAAAGAAACAAAAGAAGGGAAAAACAACTTCATCAATAGATTCATATAAGAGTATATACAACATGATTTAGAAACTAATAGAAATATAAAAGTTTGACAAAAAGCTGAATTTTATCTAATAAAAGTTTGTATCAGCATTTTATCATTGTTTATATCATTTTTTTTTAAGGGACAAACAAAAATGCTGATATTAAAAAAATACTTTGTGATAACCTACATCTAAGGGGCAAAAAAATTTTAATTGTAATATTTTTTTTTGTCGTCATTTCGTTTTATAACCTTGGCCAGAGCAAATTACAACGCAAATCAAGACCCAACACAATATATAAAGGAAGCCCAATACAGATCCATTATAAACCATTAGACACATGTAATACTTTACACATATCTAAGACACGTGTGAGGCTAAGAACATTTGCGTTGTTTTGCCAATTATCCCACCGATAAGATTCGTCGACAACACAGCCACCGCCTGAAAATTTCTCCGTTAGCTAAGTGGACCATCATGCAGCCACACGAAACCAATGCTTCATCGCCTTTTGCTTACTCCTCCTTGTAGATCCCGTGAGTATCCTTGATCGGAGAATATACCTCTCCATAAAATACACCGCCGATCATCATTAACTCATGACTAATTCTTCATCACTTTGAACAAGGCTTTTGATAGAGGATCTAGGGAGATCTCAAACTCCCAGCCTAAGAGAAGATGATTCCCAAGGTCGAAGAAGAAAATCCCTAACACATATACCAAATCCAATTATCACCGCCTCAAATATAAGAGGATCCATATGCAGAGGAGAAATGGCTTCTAACGTCCGAAAGCCAGAAACCTTTGCTAAATTGCAGTGAGACCATGATTTCTCTACCGAAATGAAATCATGTCACTCCACTTAGAGCATGTCCATTAGTAAGACTGTTTTAGGAGTTGTTAAATTTAAAATAATAATACTTTTAGCATTTGTGACGGGTTGATAAAATAATAATTCAATTATCATCCCCAAATATTCAACCAATTTCCTGCTGACACGTTGCTTAAGAGACAAGTTGATAAGTATGCTATTTAGCATACGGGTTCATCGAATAAAGCTTTTAAAAAAAATCAGTTTCTCCTAAGATTTTGGGCCAAAAATGGGTTAACAGACCCTAATGGACATGGTCTTAAAATTAATGAAGCATTTAAATAGAGAAAATCAACAAAGTGAAATAGCAAGATGATTTCGACAAACAAAAAAAGTCCGATCTAATCGGAATTTATTATCTGTAAATAAAAAAATATCTGATTTTGATTGGAATATTTAGATATGGGAGAAAAACTGATTCTTTTCTCAATGATAGAAGTGAGAGAGGAAGTGAGAGAGAAAAAAAAACTTCTTTTTTAAAAATTTAATTGTAATAATTTTAATAGATCATATTTGTCTATTATTTAATTTCAAAAATATAATGATAATGTATTTTTCGAATTCAGTGGAGGAAGTTTTTACTAATTTTAAAAATAACCACCTTAAGACTATCTCCAATGGTCTCTCATTTTGAGGGAAAACATCAAAAAATGAGGAAAACTCTTCTCCAATGAAACTTTATTTTGAGGGAAAAAATGAGTTTATGAACAGTATTACATCAAATTTGAGGGAACACTATTCTCATTTTACTTTTTAACTTTATTTATTTGCAAAATAATCCTTATAGTTTTACATGTATCTCATCTATATCTAAACAAAGTTTTAAACTTTTATTTACTATACAAATAAAATATTATGGTTTTTAAAATATACATATAAATCAATATTAATTAAATTTATAAATAAAAATGTGAAAATATAATTTTTAATACAACATAGACATTTTGACAAGGTAATAATAAAATAATATAATAAATCTTATAAATTCTGATAAGTAATCTTATGAAATCTTATAAGTAATTTTATAAATTTTATAAGGTTTTTTTTGCTTAAATTTCATAATTTCTTAAATAATTGGGTATAATTTGTAAAATTAGAAATAATGAGTGTTATTTGTAATTAATAATAAAATAAGAAAAAAATATACTTAAAATATTCTTTTTTGAAAGAAAAATGAGGGAGACTATTAGAGTAAAACTCTACCTATTTTGAATTTATTTCATTCATTTTAAAGAAAAAAGTGAGAGAAACCTTTGGAGATTGTTTTTAAGTACGAATTAGCCTTTCTCGAGAAACATGAAACCGATTTTTATGTTTCAACGGTTTTACATATTTTGAGGTGGCGAGATCAGATTACACCAGATAATACTACTAGAAAGTCAAAACATATACATACGATATGATACGTTTCTGTAAGAGAAGAAAAGACAAACAAAGACGGAAAGTTAGGTGAGGTTTATAGTTTATGAGACACTTTGGTACTTGTACGTGAGCACACTGGAACTTAACCCGGACGTATTGCAATAAATTAAACCGGATTTGATAATCAGCATTTGGTCCGGTTATACTTTTCTTTCCTTTCGTCTCAGGAAAAAAAAATCGATCTCTCTGGTTTTTTGTTCTCTTTGGTAAAATAAAATAAAAAATCCGAAAACTGGGAACATTGTCGGCGTCGTTCGAAATCGAAAGCTGTGGAGGACTAACTTTCCCAATTGATATATCAATTCACTGATGATTTGATATGCAGTATCCGATCCCTGGGTAATTATTCGATTGAGATTTTTGTTGCTGCTAATTGGTGAGTTTCTTCAGGGAAATTGATTTTAATTTTGAATGATCATTTTCGTTTTGTTTAGATCGGCTGCTGTATGGAGACTGTATGCTGTGAAATTCTCCGGCTTTGTTACTAATTTTTCCGGGCTTGTGTGATTTTGAAACCGAGCTGCTGCTTCTCGTCGTTGTGGTGGGGTTTAAGAGATGGATTTGGTCGCTAGTTGCAAGGTATTGTCTAGATGCTTATGCTTGTGGATTAAATTCGAATACTTTAAATGCTTGATAATTGAGCAGAGGTTTTTAAAGACATTGGTTTTTAGTTTTTTGTTGCTCATGTTCGGCCTGAAGATCGATTTACTATACTACTGAGTAGAAGAAAATGATGCTCTGTCTCACGAACATTACTTAGTTTCTGGAAGTTATTAGGTATTTAACTTTGGTAGTACAATTCCTGATGGTTATTAGGCACAGTCTGCTTCTCACATGACATGGGGAGATTGAGATCCTATGTTTGGATTTATGGTTTATTACTGTTGTCTGTGTATTTGATCTTGGTGTTAGTCAATCTCAGAGTCTGATTTGATGTCGTTGCAGAAAAAAACATTGTTCGTGTTCGCAGTGAATTTGATTATCTTGGTTTACTTAAGCTCAGTGTTTCATCTGATATATTTTCAGGAGAAACTTGCATATTTCCGGATAAAGGAGCTCAAGGATGTGCTTACTCAGTTGGGACTTTCTAAACAGGGAAAGAAGCAGGTAAAAAACTCTTTTTTGCTAATCTTGCACTTGAATTATGGTTTGGAACTCTGTAAATTATTGGACTTTTTATCATTTTGGGAGTTATTATTGTCATAAAATTGTAATGGAGTTGCTAATAGCGAAGTTCTGGCATATCCATCTATTTGGAATAGAGTGTTATCTACTATGTAAGCTCATAGGCGTAGTTGCGTACCAATTTGGATTGTCGTTAAATATGAACTATGTTTTCTTTCGCAATTGGCTTGTGCAGGACCTTGTCGAGCGGATCTTGGCCATTCTTTCCAATGAGCAAGGTATATTGAGCAATCATGTTTATGTGTTCATACCTAACTGTGATCAAAGAAACCATTTCAGTGCTGGCGCACCATCTTCTGATAAGAGTTTTTCTCCATTACTTACTGTTTACTGACAGTTGCCAGGTTGTGGTCTAAAAAGGATGTCGTGGCAAGGGAAAAAGTTGCAAAACTAGTGAACGATACATATAGGTGAGTGCTTGCTTTAGCCACGGCTTTCTTATGGTAGGCCATGTTATCTCTTTGTGACCAGTGATTTTCTTTCCAGTACCATAAATTTGTGTTTTCCACAGGAGAATGCAAGCATCTGGGGCAAGTGACCTAGCATCGAAAGGACAAGTTAGTTCAGATATCAGTAATGTGAAAGTTAAGGGAGAGCTCGAAGATTCCTTTCAACCAAATATTAAAGTTCGTTGTATTTGTGGAAGCTCACTGGAGACAGAGTCAATGATACAGGTAAGTTTGTGACACAATTAATTTAGCAGCAGCTTCTTGGTGTTTTATGGCTCAGTAAAATTTTTGGTGATACCTTATTACGATCTCAATTATGATTTGTAATTTTCAGTGCGAGGATCCGAAATGCCATGTCTGGGAGCATGTTGGCTGTGTTATTATCCCGGAGAAGCCTATGGGAGGAAATCCACCGCTTCCTGATTCCTTTTACTGTGAAATATGTCGACTTACCCGAGCTGACCCGTAAGATGCTCAGGAACTTTCCCTTTTTCTCCTGACTATGAGATTAATGATTAAAAGTTTATTTGTATCTCTCCTTAATACAGACAATTCTGTCCAGCTTGCTACATTTTTTCCTCTTTGATCTTTGTTCATATATGTCCAGCATTGAAGATAATTCTAACTTTGTTGCTAAATGTGAATTTATCTTTAGGTTAACCAGGTTATGACATATTTTGGCTGTCTTATATGGTCTTAAATGTGCAGATTTTGGCTCACAGTGGCACATACATTGTTACCGGTGAGATTGACTGTTACGAACATTCCAACTGATGGGTAAGTGTACCAAGTTTTTTTTGTAGGTATCGTATATAGATTTATGTACTCTAATCCCAATCTTGGAAGTACAACTATCAGCACTTTTTTAGTTTGGAAAGCTGAAGCACTTCTGCTATGTGTAATATATAATTTTTCTAAGATTTACGTCTTACGCAATGCATACTGTTTCTGAATATGGGGTTGATTTCAATTGAGTCATGAGGTGAAGCCTAGTCACTTAGCCTTTTGATGGGACTTTATGTTCATTCTAGTATTTAGAAAGAGGAATCATGACTGTTTCCTAGCCAGATTCACCACGCTTGCTTAAACTTCAAAAATTGATGGTTTTTTCTTATTCTTAAACTCTGCAATATTTTCAGTGCAAACCCAATACAGAGTGTGGACAGAACATTTCAAATAACAAGGACGGACAGAGACTTATTGGTGAAACAGGAGTACGATGTTCAGGTTGCTGGTTTTACAACTAGGTTAGATATGTAAGATTATATATGCGTATGTGTTTTCTAATTGGTAGTGGAATCTGCTTTGTTTTCAGGCTTGGTGTATGCTCTTGAATGACAAAGTTCTGTTCAGAATACAGTGGCCTCAATATGCTGATCTGCAGGTCAATGGTATGCTAGTGAAATTCAGAGCTTGGTTTTGATATGTAAACTAATTTTGTGTTATTAGCATCTCTTGGTAAACTGAATGGGTTTCAAACACATAATCATACGTGTATGAATAGACATTGAATTCCTTGGAATAAATTTGCTCTCAAAAACTACCTCACTATTTTATAGGTATACCTGTTCGTGCTATTAACCGACCTGGGTCACAGCTTCTTGGGGCCAATGGCCGCGATGATGGACCAATTGTATGTTTTTCATCCCTACCTGCTACCTTTCTTTGTTGTTTAATAATACTATGCTTTCTCAAAAAATAAACTCTTGCTGTTCGTGATTTAGTATGCTCTCATTGCATTTTTTTGTTGGCAGATTACTCCTTGTATTAGGGATGGAATTAACAAGATATCCTTGAGTGGATGTGACTCCCGCATTTTTTGTTTGGGTGTAAGACTTGTGAAGCGAAGGTCTCTGCAACAGGTACTTATATTTACTGCATGAGAGACGTTAAAAAATTAAGTCAATATTCATCACCAACTCTAGTGTTCTCTAATGCTCAAACATTATATTTCCTTAAAATTCACATTTATTTTTCACCTAGGTCCTAAATATGATCCCAGAGGAGGCTAAAGGCGAGCCTTTTGAAGATGCTCTTGCACGTGTACGTCGATGTATTGGAGGTGCAGCTGGAAATGATAATGCCGACAGTGATAGTGACATTGAGGTTGTCGCTGACTTCTTTGGTGTTAATCTCCGCTGTCCTGTAAGTAGATGTAGCTCACTATAAATAAGTTTTTGTAATCACAGTTGTTGTTTATCTTATTGACTATTTGAGGTACGTTTCTGTTTGTGTTATTAGATGAGCGGGTCTCGGATGAAAGTTGCTGGTAGATTTAAACCCTGTGTGCATATGGGATGTTTTGACCTTGAGGTGTTTGTGGAGCTGAACCAACGTTCCAGAAAGGTAGGTATTCTATCATAGTCTAGATAATTGTGGGATGTTCATATTGGTAACTGAGTTTAGTTGTTATTTGTTTTGTTTAATTACAGTGGCAGTGTCCCATTTGTCTGAAAAATTACTCTCTTGAGCATATCATCGTGGATCCATATTTTAACCGAATCACATCAAAGGTACAATTTTGTAGACTATTAGCATTCTTGATATTTCTATGATTAAATTCATCAATCGACATTAATAAAGGTCGTCTTTATGCATGGCAGATGAGACGTTGTGATGAAGAGTTAACTGAAATTGAAATGAAGCCTGATGGTTGTTGGCGTGGGAAGTTCAAAAGTGAGAGTGAGCGCAGGGAATTAGGGGAACTCTCACAATGGCACAAACCTGATGGTAGTCTTTTCCCCACCATTGATGAGATCAAACCCAAGATGGAAATGCTGACACCAATCAAACAAGAAGGTTGCTCAGATGGCCCAACACCTCTGAAACTTGGAATAAGGAAGAATCGCAATGGCATTTGGGAAGTCAGCAAACCGAATATTAATGGTTTATCTTCCAGCAATAGGCAAGAGAAGCAGAATCTTATACCAATGAGCAGTAGTGCCAGTGGAAGTGGTAGAGATGGTGATGACCCTAGCGTTAACCAGGATGCTGTTGGAACCTTTGATTTTGGAAACAACGGGATGGAACTTGACTCTCTATCCATGAATGTAGATTCAGGCTATAACTTTCCTGATAGGAATCATCAACCAGCAGCAGCTAGTAATAACGAAGTAATCGTTTTAAGTGATTCTGAGGAAGAGAACGATGTTGTTATCACTGAGAGATACAATGAGAATCAAGCTGATGGCGTGGTAAATTTTTCATTGCACGCACCTGATATTGCTAACTCATATCATGAAGATCCTCCTCACGCAGCGGCTGCAGGCAATTCAGGCTTGGGTCTTTTCACAAACGATGATGATGATTATGATATGCGCCTTTGGCAGTTGCCTTCAGAAACCCAAGGTGGGCCAGGGTTCCAACTATTTGCATCTGATGCTGATGTATCAGAGGGTTTAGTTGGTCCACTGAACTGTGACCCTGCAATAAATAGTGGTTACTCTATGGCTCCAAATACATCGTCAATGCCATCTATTCCTATGGTTCCAGAGTCTGTTGGACAATCTGAAGCAATTGCAAACAATGGATTAGTCGACAATCCTCTGGCATTTAGTAGAGACGATCCCTCGCTTCAGATATTTCTGCCAACAAGACCAGAGACCTCAGCTCAGTCCGATTTCAAAAATCAAGCTGAGATGTCAAACGGAATCCACAGTGATGATTGGATCTCTCTTAGGCTCGGTGATCATGGTGAGACGATAGGAGCAAATGGACATAACGGAACCAATCCAGTATCAACGAGAGATGGTGCTTTGGATACACTGTCAGAGACTGGTTCGTTCCCCTGACTAAAACTGAAACATTTAGGGATAATTAATACTGCGTGTTGTGAATTTGCAATGTTGCATAAGAAGGAAAAGATATGTATTCATCACTATAATTGTTACTGACTGTATAATCTGCATACTTGCAGCGTCGTTGCTTCTGGGGATGAACGACAATAGACAAGAGAAGGCAAGTAGTCAAAGATCAGATAGTCCGTTCTCATTTCCTCGGCAAAAGCGTTCAGTAAGACCTCGGCTGTTTCTCTCAATTGATTCAGACTCAGAATGAGATGAGTTTTGGTTTGTATGTACGATGTATAGCCTCCTCGCTTGTTTGTGTTTTTTTGGCGGGATAATTCGGTGTTCCTTTGATTCTTTAAGTACGCATATGCACCGAACAATCAAATGGATCATCAGAGCCAGAGTTTACCAAGATTTCCTTGATTCTCCTCTGTGCTTGGCACCTTCAGGCGCTTTATGCAAAGGTAAAAAGCCAGAGTTCTTGACATCTCGTAACCTTTTTCTTTACAACTACTATATCAACTCTATGAATCTGAAGTTTCTCTATCGTTGCAGGTTGTTTTTTGTATTTGCAAAGGAGGGAAAGATTATATTTAAGTAAATGAAAGACTGGAAAAATTAAAGGAGGCTTTTAAATTGGTAAATGTATGTGGGATAGGGGGTTTTTTTTTTTTTTGAGTCGATAGTTACTCCAAAAAAGCTGTGTTCTAAGGTGATATTAGCCAATAGGAGAAACAGCATTTGTAAATGTAAATTAAAAAAAAAAATCAGCTCTGTTTCCTCTTCACTCTTGAAAAAAGAATCTTACATTTACATTTTGGGAACAGCAAGATTTATATATACGAAATAGATTAAGCAGATGGCATTGAGGTTTTGTTGTTTGTATGCTTTCTTTAGCATATCTTGCCTGTTATGTCTTCTTTATTACCATTTTCGTATGAATTGTCGTTCCTCAAGAGATGAAAAGAAAAAGGATGTTTTTATTGATTCAACTAAAGTGTGAGGAAACAGAAGAGAAAGGTGTCTAATTTATTGATAAAGATGATTGATTTCTAAATAATAAAGATCAAAGTGGTATACGGAACCTCGGACTTTTGTCGGACCGTGCGTGACTCATTGTTCATATCTCTATTTCACAATCCTTATCAGCTTCTTCTTCTTCGTCTTCATTTGCTATTTCATTATTTAATCTCAATTTGGAAGCGTATATTTGGGTCTCTAATAAAAAAACGTTTTCTGCATACTTACACGAACACAATCTTCCTAGTGCCGTCGATCTGATTACCAAAATATCGCAAGATGCAGAGGTTTTTGGCCGCTAGATCGATTCTCGGTTACGCCGTCAAGACGCGGAGGAGACACTACTACTCTTCTCTCTCTTCGTCCCTCCTCTTCGACGACACTCAGTTACAGGTTCTCTCTCTCTTCTCTCCATTATCTCTGTGTTTGTGTCTGTACGAAGTTTATTTCCCAAAAATCTTCCAGCTATTATGCCGGTTTAAAAATCGGAACTTTGGTCTGCATCTTGTTTTGTGTTGATATCAAATGGGGTTGTTTAGTGTGATTGTGGTTGTTAATGCTTGTCACCAGTTTTTTTTCCTTTCTTGGACTTTCCTGATTTTCAAAGTTCATGAAACGTTCTTGAATCCCTCTGTAATTTTTTTATTTTTTTTAAATTTTTTTTTCATTGACATTGCAACTGCAGTTTAAAGAAAGTGTATCCAAGTTTGCACAAGATGTTATCGCTCCTCACGCAGAAAGAATCGATCGAACAAACTCATTTCCAAAGGTTTGTCTTGATTTCTAGTCTTTTTCATTCCTTCCTCTTATGGTTTTTGTTGCTTATATATATCTCCCAAACCTAATCTTTTAATACATTTCTCACTTAGGATGTCAACTTATGGAAGCTAATGGGTGAGTTTAATCTCCATGGAATCACTGCACCAGGTAGATTTCTGTCCTATCACATATCATAAGCTTTTGCTATTAGCTCAATGGTGAAGTTTTTTGTTTCTTTAGCATATATGTCTAGAAGGGAACCTTGACTCATAATCCTCTGGTTTGCCTGCAGAGGAATATGGAGGTCTAGGTCTTGGTTACTTGTATCATTGTATAGCAATGGAGGAAATTAGTCGGGCCTCGGGGTCAGTTGCTCTGTCTTACGGTGCCCATTCCAACCTTTGCATCAATCAATTGGTAAATATAAGCGCTCACAAAGTGACAAAACTTGCAATATCTGAGCTTTTGTTAACTCAAGAGAGGAGACTTATTTACTACTACTACTACTTTACAGGTGAGGAATGGAACTATAGCCCAAAAGCAGAAGTATTTGCCAAAGGTACGGTTTCATCTGAGTTTATCAGAAAATTAGTATCTCACCTTATTAGTGATATGAATGGAAATAAGACTGATATTTGGCTTTTTATAGTTCGATTTTTCTTCATTTGTGAACTCTTTTGAGATCTCTCCTTACGAGTTTAGCTAACTAATGATTTTGCTGTTATGAAGCTTATCAGTGGAGAGCATGTTGGTGCACTTGCAATGAGTGAACCCAATGGTAAGATGCATACCGTTTGGATAAAGAAAGAGAGAGAGAGAGAGAGAGAGAGAGAGAGAGAGAGAGAGAGAGAGAGAGACATATATGTATAGTGAACGATTTATTCTGATTTTAGTTTTATGATCTTTATACAGCTGGTTCAGATGTTGTCAGCATGAAATGCAAGGCTGATAAGGTGGATGGTGGCTATATAATAAATGGCAACAAGATGTGGTGCACTAATGGTCCGTCTGCTGAAACACTGGTAATGCAGTTTAGCTAATATGTTAACTGTCTGAATTTGAATGGCACATAGCCGCATACTTTCTTTTTTTTTAGTTTTAACAATTTTCTACCATTTGTTTGCTTGGTTCAATCAGATTGTTTACGCCAAAACTGATACAAAAGCAGGTTCTAAAGGAATCACAGCTTTCGTTATAGAGAAGGGCATGACCGGGTATTTTTTTTCTCAATCTTGTTTCCCGAAGTCGAAACTGCCTCTCTATGATCTTGAGAGATAGTTCTTCAAATCTATCTCTGATAGTGGTGGTTTTGCAGATTTAGTACTGCTCAGAAACTGGACAAACTGGGAATGCGAGGAAGCGACACGTAATCCCCTATTTTCTCAGGATTCTCTGTCTAAATTAAAGTCCTTCTTCATTGCCTCTTGTTATCTGATATATGTCTCCTCTTCTGAGCAGGTGTGAGCTTGTTTTTGAGAATTGCTTTGTTCCAGAAGATAACATTCTTGGCAAGGAAGGAAAAGGTTTTGATTGCTGCAACTTCATCTTTTTACTTTGATTCTTTAGGTTGATGGATAAGTTGCACTTCATTCTCTATTGCTGCAACTTCATCGTTTTACTTTGATCTCCACGCTTGGTACAATTTCTTGATCCGAGGCTACAAGCCCCTTCTCTATACTTGTCTTATGGACATAGTGTTTTTCTACGTGCAGGAGTGTATGTTCTGATGTCAGGTCTGGATTTAGAGAGACTTGTTTTAGCAGCTGGGCCCTTAGGGATCATGCAGGCATGCCTCGACACTGTACTTCCATATATACGCCAGAGAGAACAGTTTGGTCGTCCTGTTGGGGAGTTCCAGTTTATACAGGTTAATCTTTGAGCATCCTTAACATAAAGGTTCCAAAATTCTTAACTTTCAATCGTGATAATCTTTAAAGTATGTTGGATGACTCAGGGTAAAGTTGCTGACATGTACACTGCATTACAGTCTTCAAGGTAGAAAAACATCTCTCAAAAACTCTGAAACTCATTTCGTCCATAACAGCCGAAAATGAGCTTTAAAGAAAAAAGATGTTGCTTTTGGTATATCTCAGGTCATATGTCTACTCTGTTGCAAGGGAGTGTGACAATGGGAAAGTTGACCCAAAGGTGATTTTTTGATCATCCCTTCTCGTTATCTCTTATGAAAAGAATCCTCATTCTATATCTGCTTAATAGCCTCTCTTGTATGTTATTATTCTTCTAGGATTGCGCGGGAACTATTCTTTGTGCAGCCGAAAGAGCAACACAGGTTGCTTTACAGGTCAAGTACCTTTTTACTCCTCTGCTTTCTTTTTATACTATCATCCATGAATACTTCTTGACCATTGAGTCCATTATATCTGGTTTGATGTTGCAGGCTATCCAATGTTTAGGAGGAAATGGATACATAAACGAATATGCAACGGGACGCCTTCTGAGAGATGCAAAGCTTTATGAAATAGGCGCGGGGACAAGTGAGATTAGAAGGATTGTCATTGGTCGCGAGCTTTTCAAAGAACCATAGAGATAATTATCTAAGTCTCCTTTTATGATCTGTCAAAGATGATAACAATGTGAACATTGTCATTCTGAACAAGTATATAAAAATTGACATTGTGCTCATTAACCTTCACAATTAGAAAGAATAAAGATGGCTTCAAACAGTTCTTTCTGTTATTTTTCACCTTATTTTTCACCAGAAACTGTATCAAACCGAAGTTTAGGAATTTAGTTCGTGGTTACCGTTAGAGAAGAATAAGATTGTGAAGAAGCTGATACGATTGTTCTAACAATTCAAATACTAATTTTTCTATAAGAAAATCCAGATGTGTCCTTATTCATGATAATGTCAAATAGGTAAATGATATGTGTATGATGGTATCTAGAAAACATCGTACACGTATCATCTGAACCCCCTAACTATCACAAAAACTCTTATTAATATCTAATTAAACTCTATACTGTATTCATTCAATTACCAATATAATCTCTTGCTCACTTTCCAATTCCATCAATCTTTATCACCTTTGCTTTCAATTGATCTCTCTTGTATTGCATGGAAGATATGAATATCCGTGGAGAGTCATACAATCACATATGGGAAGTGCTCTACAAGTATATCATTACATATTTGACAGAGGACCACCAAAGCACGAGCATGCAGTAACACTATATTTCTCTATTTTTAGTAACAAATTATGTTAAACAATTACACTTGACGTAGAGTAACTCTATATAGCTAAATTTGGATTAACATAATCATTCTTCTATTTTTAGAACGAGATATATATAGAGTATCATTAGAGATCGTTTTTACTTTAAAAATAGAGTATAGAGACAAAAATAGAATCCTTCAATGCCAACGTTTACGCTCTACGCCTCGTTTATGCAGAGTCTCCAAAAATGGAGAAGGAAGAGGTTCATGTGGTGACTAAGAAACATGGACCAAACCGGAGAAATCGTAACAGAAGAAGAAGAAGAAGAAAAGGAAGAATCACGGAGACATGCCGGTCATAGATATCATCTTCAGAGTCGAAGAGATTTGCAAGAAGTATGACAAGTACGACGTCGACAAGCAGCGTGAGCTTGGAGCTTCTGGTGACGATGCCTTCTCTCACCTTTACTCCTCCATTGATTCTGACATTGAAGCAGTTCTCCGCGTTCGTATCCTATACTCACTCTCATTTGGTCACGATTGTGAAATTGTTCTCCTCCATTGAAATTTCTCTGTTCTTGATTTTGCTTTACAAAGTTTTTAAATCTGTATATGCCAAGATTTCTGCTTATAAAAGACTAAAATATAAAATACTAAAATAGAGTTGGAATCATAGCGATCAGAAAGGAAACATTTTACTGTTTTTCAGTTCAAGCAAATCAAAGAATGTTGAGATTTTAGCGAATCAAAACTAGAAGAAAATCGAAAATTTTAGAGAAAAACGTATTTCTTTAGAAGAAATATCCGTTTCTAGGATTTCTTTATTATCATGTGAATGAATGAATAATACAAACCCTTAAGACCCATATTTATAACGCCCCAAACCTGATTTTAATAAGATTAG